CCACTCTCGCCCAGCACGGCAAACACCACGGCCCCACTCTCGATATCTCAACGACCAGTGCATCAACAGAGCGCGATGAAGCGCCGCAATTTCATCTCTTTACTACTCGAATATCTAAAGTACAGAGATTCATTCGTTTGCGGGCCTTGGGGCTCGTCCCGGATGATTTGTAGGGCCGCTCACCAATCTCTGATCCCGGCGGGCAATGTCGTCGTCCGTCCTCGCCCTCACGTGGGCAAGCAACGTTGAACGTTCAGCAGCTCCTAACAGACTTGGATGGCTTTGCCGATCCCGCGCCCGCGCTTCGGCCTACCTTGGCCCGCCCTGAGGACCCAGTAGACATAAGTTCCCCGTCAAAGGCTGGCGTAAGCGCGATACTGTCGCGGCTCGGTCGTAGATAGGTAGCTATGCGAGCCAATGAGTTCCTTGAGGCCATACTGTTGATGACACCTCATCCAATGTCAGACTCCTGTGGGGGAACTCTCTGGACAACTCGAACTTCGTCTCCGACGCGGAGGATCGCGCCGATTGGGCCGGCGGTGGCGTACTGCCCGAACACCGGCTTGTCTAGTCCAAACGGTCAGCTCGACGCACCACACCGAGCATGCAGGGTCAGACATACGGGGGATGGCACTATTTACCCGCCTGTCCTTGGCGAGTAGGCCGTACAACTGCTGATCTCGCGGCGCTGCTTTGCCGGTCTTGAGATCCACATTCAGGCTCAGGCAGCGCGGAGTTCGGAATATGCAACGGATAGTGGCTTTGTGAAGATCTGAGCCTGGCGACGAGATAAAGAGTTTCCCCCAATCATCTTCATCCCAGGCCTGGACACCTGGGCCAACGTCGATGTGTATGTTTGGGCGGAGCCGGATAATTACGTCTTGGTTGCGCACATCCGCGGGAAGCCGGGACAATGCGTCGGCGGCCGAGGCTGTCGACGTCACGAGGAGTGGCGATGCATCTGCAAAGCGGATGCGTTGAATGGTAGACTTGCCGTTCTCGCCGGCCTGTTTCGCCTTGAAGGATATGTGAGGCTGCTTCAGACCCGAGGCGCCAGGGATGTCGCGGCTCCCGTCGCCCGCTATGTACAGCAGCTTGACAGGCATGTCCAGGTGCTTGCTGAAAAAGGCAGCGGGGCCGTCTCCCATGTCTACGCCGGGGGCTCTGGTGCCGAAGATGCTGACTTGATAGGTTCTGGACTGGACGCAGGAGAGTGGCGATGGTGTAAGGGGTATGGTGATGGACGTCTGTGGCTGGGCTAGTGTATGTGTGATGGTGAGACGGGACCAGTCGTCACTGATCGAAGGCTGGAAGAGACACATGCGGAACGTCGTCTTGATGGTGAGGTGCTCCGCGACCGCGTCCTCTTCGAGTCCAGGTGGCGCCTTGATGAGGACATACTGGCGGTCGAAGCGCAGGCCCTCACTCGTGATCTCGGCCATGGACACCTCGACGGGCAGCATCGACTTGACAGGGTAGATGAAGAGCTAAAGTCAAGATGTGTCAGTCAGTGGGGGGCAACGGCGCGGGAACAGCAGATAAGCTTACCCGCTGAATCTTCATCGCGACCGCCTCATCCGCCTGCCGCGGCCTGGTTTGAGAGACATCTGTGCCTCCGTTGATGCCAGGCTCGACGAGAGTCGAGGCCGACGGGGGTCGGTCGGATCCGACGGGCTCCGAGTCCCCGCTCATACGGGACGAGGTGCCTGGATTAGTTGCCGTTGGGGGTCAAGATCGGATCGCGGCATGGCATCGCCACCGACGAGGCTGGTGAGAAGCTGTGCCTGGCAGGCGTCGGCTATGAGACGTGGTGGTTTGCGCATGTCATCACGGTAAGGTCCCAGGGCAGGGGAGGTGAGTGTGAGTGAGTGTGTGTGTGTGGACGTGATGATGGAAGTTGCCTGCCTGCCAGTGGCGGCTCGCTCGCCGCCAAGGATGCGTGGATTGGACGGGTCCAGTAAAGTCAAGCTGGAGCCCGTGAGGTGCGCGAACGCAGCGAATCGCACCGCTGGGATGGTTCCCCGTAGCGCCCTTCCGACGCTGAACAGCCGGCCCAGACAGCGGCCGTTGGGACGGACTCGAGGTGCCCAGCTGGTGGGCCCGCAGCCAACGGGAGGCTCTGTCCAGGTTCCTTCCACTGCGCATTTGCGCCCCGTGCGCCTGCTGCCAACCTGCCGTCGCGCCTGCCAACCTTGAATTCCCAAGTCTCACCTCTCACCTCACCTGTGGCTCGCCAATGCCTTCCGCATTGGGAAGGCACCAGCGAGCCGTCCAGCAGCGACGCCCGTCCGTCCCATCCGCCCCGCTCAGCCCATAAACCCGTAAGTTGTTGTAACACTCACTCACTCACAGTCGCTTTGCAACCGAACCGTCGCAGTCGAACCTTCCTCTTGCAGCTTGCCTGTTTGTCAGCCTTACCGCCGTTTGTCAGACCCCTTGCACGTCGAATGAGCTTTCTCGCAGCCGCCGGCGCGAGGCAAAGGCGTGGGTAATGACTTGCCAGCTCTAGGCGGCCTCACCACTGACGCCAGACCTGCACGGCTGCACCGACATCGTCGTCGGCCCAGCCGTAACGACGCCTCCTTCACCATCGTGCTTAGCGACGCCGCTGCCGCTATCAGATCTACTTGACGCCTATATATAAGAGGGCCGTAGACGCAGGCCCTGACTCATCTCACATCTAGATGCTCCATTTCGAGCTCCGTTGCACGCGCTGCATCTCGGAACTTCATCCAGGCCACGGCCTCGCACATCATGACGGGACTTGGCATTGCGCCCGTCCCCTGCATTCGCTGTAAGGCTCGTCGAGTCAAGGTACGGCTCTCTTATATCCCGATCGTGCCGCCACGGCTAAACAGCTGTCCAGTGCGACAAACGCCAGCCGGGATGCGCACGATGCGAAAAGTCGGCGCAGCCGTGTCCTGGCTACAATCGCGTCCGCAAGTTCCTCGACGAGGGCGAGAACTTGCGTCACAAGATTGCCAAAGGCACCGGCTCGCGACGATCTGACAGTAGTAGCGCCTCCGTCGTCCGAGACAGCACCCCCGCCAAGGCGGCCGGCTCGGTGAAGCAGGCCTCACCGAAGACACCATTCGTTGCCTCGCCACGGTCACGCACCGATGACACCAATGGCGCCGGCATTGATCCAGCAATCATCCATGAGCATAGCCCACTAGCAGGTGGGCAGTCGAAGCCGGAGGACGTCTACCCCCTCAACGTCCACCCTGCTTCATCCATAGCCATGATCACGCCCCGGAGTTTCTCTGACCTCGACTTTGACGCCGCATACTTCGATATCGACCCGCAAGTCTACTATGCCGACCCTATCAACTGCTGTCTCCTTATCCCAGACGCGTCTCAGGCCGATGACGACGAGTTCCTGGACCCAACACAGACGGCATCTTCCATGCTCAGCCCCATAACGTCGTTTGACCCGTCAGCACAATCAGGTTCAGGTGGTAGCAGTCTGTCCGCGCCCTCAGATCAGGATGACGACGACGAAGAGCATGAAGCTTCCCATCTTATCCGCTACTTCGCCGACTTTACCAGCCAGTGGCTCGACATTTTTGACATGGAAAAATTCTTTGGCACCGTGGTCCCCGTGAGAGCCGTCCACAGCGCCCTTCTGAAGAACTCTCTCGCGGCGGTGGCAGCCAAGCAGTTTGGGAGCCTGCGGAAGGCATCTGGAGCGCGTTCGTCTCCTGAACACGGCAGCTACCCTCCCCACGAGCAGAGCCATTGGAGATCTACGCTAGATATACACTTTGACAAGTCGGGGCCGGAATGGTTTTACAAGGCTGCAAGTTTCTACGACAAGGCTATTGGCCAGATGATGGCTTCATTACAGACACTACGGGTATGCTGCTCGCCGGGCCAACCCTTTCCCAACTACGCGGCAGACGCGCAAAACCTTGCGAAGTCGCGGTCGCAATACCCGGGAGCATCGCCGCTCGAGAGCCCTCACAGGCCGTCAAATTGTGAAGACGTTGCCGACGATCTATTGGCAGCCATATCGGTATTCTTGCTGTATGAAGCGCTGGATAATCGCCAAGCCGAAATGATGCAGTAAGTGGTCCTGCTCGTTGCACACATATTGGGATGTTTTGCTCACAGAGGCTTGGCTATAGACATATGAAAGGCGCCCAATACCTTCTCACGCTGGACGTTGACCAAAACTATCAGATTTGCAACGCCACGGACAAGTCATGTCCTAGAATCGCGTCCAGCTTGACACCGACCAAGGCTTGGGTAGCCAGTTTCTGGAACTTCGCCTGGGTCGACTATGTCGTCTCGTATACGAGACATACTGCACCCCACATCGATACTGAGAACATGTCCATGTGGAAGGCGGCTGGGCTGCCGCTCTGCGATTTTGGTGGACTTTGCATACCCGAGACATTGAGGGACGCCAACATGTCTCCACCACGGCTGATGACAGAAACAGCAGCATGCAGGACTCTGCTCTGGATTGTATTGGAGACGTTGAAGTTCGTTGCGTGGACCGAGATGGAGGACAAGAACATGGCCGCCGAGGAAGAGAACGCTTGGTCCGGCCGGGTGCGTCAACACCATGGACTCGCGCCGTCTCAGAGACGTCAACGTTGGCATCGCATTCGTCAACACCTGGAGAGTTGGAAAGTGGCACTCCCGGTCACATTTGAGCCGTGCGTTCGCATCTCGTCACACGGGCCACGGAGGCCAGGGTCGTCAACGCCACTGCAATCCGACATACCAGAGCTGTTTTACAGCAGCGCCATGTGCGCCACTGCCGCGCTCCTGTACCATGTCACTCAAATCATTCTCATGTTGCACAAACCAGTGGACCGGGCATCGCAGTCGGCCACGAGGCTCTTGCACGCTCAACGACAGACATCGGCCCTGATTGAGGAACATGCTCGCGAAATATGCGCGCTTGCGCTAGGACAATCAACGCTGGCTGTGAGGATGCACATGTCGCGCCCTCTGCACTTGGCGGGTCTGTGTCTTCAGACCAAGGAGCATCGGCAGTTGTTGGTAGAACTTCTCACGGGCATTCAGAGAGATACAGGCTACTCGACCGAGTGGACTGTCGACTTGCTGCGAAAGGAATGGGGCTGGTCAGACGTCAACAGCACAGACAGCGCGCCAGACGTGCGGCTGCGGCGGCGAATATAGAGAGCGTCACAGGGCTCGGGACATTTAGTCGACAGGTGGGCAGGCGCAAGGTTGGGCTGCGAAATGGCAAAAGCCAGGCATGATTTCACGATAATTCTGCATTCTGCATATATGTAACTAGCTAAGGGATGGGCATCAGGATAGCGACCTGTCGGCTTGTCAGGTGTGTAATTGATGGTTGGATTGTATTCCGGCGTGGCGCAAGCGCCCAACACCGGCCTTATTAGACATGGCTCTTCCACACAAAATTACGCGTCAGCGGATTGAATAGGGGCGACTCACTAACTATTAATTCGGCTCCAATGGAACATGGTGTCGCCGTGTCGTAGCTCACCTTATGCAGGTGAGACTGGCTAGCAACGGATCAGCTGTGCGGGGCATCGACGAAGGAACCAGGATGTCTGCTGACGACTCGTCACCTCTCAGTCGCCTCTCACCTGCATCTGGCCGCTTCCAAGGCGATATCATCGCTGTGGCTAAACATACCGTCATGTCAGAAAAGACGCTTCAAGACGCTGCCCGGCCCCTGTTACCACGGGGACAAAAACCTGGACGCAGTATCAAGGCGCCGCTGATTGCGGCCTTTGGACTGTTGGCGATCTTCTCAGTCTGCCTCCGCCTTCTTCCGACGCAGGAGGATGACACCTCGAGGGAAGATGGCTCACACAAACCTCCGTCATGGAGCTGGAACGACGTGAGTTGACTCATTCCAAGAAAATTCCGAACAACAGTGCCCTGACTAGAGCCCTATACAGATCCAGCCAAGTCGGTCGCTGAAATGGACGAGCTGTTACAATGACACCTTGCAGTGTGCGAGACTCGATGTACGAGGCCCTCTCCTTTCATGCCAGGTATGAGCTGGGGCTTACGGGAGCAGGTGCCTATGGACTGGCAGAACCCGTCAGACAAGGAGCGGGTGATACTTGGAGTTACGAGGTTGCCAGCAAGGTCAACCAAGAACCCGCTTCCGCCAGTCTTTGTCAACCCAGGAGTAAGAGCCACGACACCGGACTCAGCGGCACACGTTGACAAAGGATAGGGCCCCGGCGGGTCGGGCGTTTACCTGGTACAAAAGGCCGGATCGGTGCTGCAGGCCATTGTTGGAGATAACCAGGTGAGTTTCCCGGCAGCCTCCCAGACTAGAAGATGACTGACCGGAAAGGATATCATTTCGTGGGATCCCCGCGGAGGTATGTAAAATGATGTGACCCCCAGTAGGCCAGATGAGTTGACTGACTGGCGTAGTCGGCGTCTCGACGCCAAGGATAGAATGCTGGGGCACGCCAGAGAAGAGGCAGCTGTGGGCCATGCAGGACGCGGGCGTCGTCGACGAGCGTGAGGGACTCGTGTACGACACGTACTCGCGCGGCATCGCCTACTCGAGGGCATGCGAGGGGGCGCTCAACGAGACGGATATCCTCGCGCACATCAGCACGGCGTATCATGCGCGGGACATGCTCGAGATTCTGGACCAGACGGGGCATGCGAAGCTGCGCTACTGGGGGTTCAGCTACGGAACGGCCTTGGGCGGTGCCTTTGCCGGCCTGTTTCCAGACCGCGTGGAGAGGCTGGTGAGCGACGGTAAGTGTTACTTGCGCCTTCGTACAGATTGTGACTCCTGACGACGGCCGTACAGGAAACGTCGACTACAAGGAGTGGTTCGGGGGCGGTCTTCGCAACTACCTCTCCGACGCCGACAAGGTCTTTGACGCATTCGATACGGCATGCCACGCCGCCGGACGGGACAAATGCGCTCTCTGGGCATCCTCTCCCGAGGCCGTCCAACGACGGCGTTCCTCGCTCCTCCAAGCCCTAAAGATCCGCCCCGTCCTCATCCCAGCCAACGCCCGCTCTTCAGGCCCCGAACTGCCGGAGCGCGTCACATACACCCGCCTGCAGCGCCTCACGCGCGCCCTCGTCTACAACCCGGTGTACAATGCCCCCGCCCTGGCGCGTGTCTACGCCGCGCTCGAGCAGGGCGACGGCCTGCCCTTCTACGACATCGTGGTGCTCCTCGAGAAGCAGCAGCAGGGCGGCGGCTCGAAGCTGCTGTGCTCGCTGACGGACACGCCGGCCACGATGCCGCTCGAGACGCCCGCCGAGCCGGACGCCCTCGCCGGCATCATGTGCGCCGACGCGCGGGCCGCCGAGTCGCTCGACGAGTTTGAGGCGTACACCGAGGACCTGCGGAGGAGCAGCCGCTGGATGGGCGCGACGCATGCCGACTTTGGGGCTGCGTGCGTGGGCAAGACTGTCGGGTCCAAGTGGCGCTTCAGCACGGGTGAGTCTGTCCCTTCTGCTGCTCTGGCGTGAGGTGAGATCGTAGGGGCATGGGTGTGCTGACAGCTTGTGGCAGACGATATCAAGGCTGACACGAGCTTCCCGATCCTGTACATTGGCAACATCGCCGACAACGTGACGCCCCTGGCCAGCGCGCGCAACAACTCGGCCCTCTTCCCGAGCTCCGCGGTGCTCGTGCAAAAGTCATACGGCGTGCGTGCTTTCCCCTAGTCTCCCTCCCCCCCTTTAAACTCTCCAACCTCTTGTGTGCACGGGGCGAGAAATGATGACTTGGTTTGACGACAAAGGCTGACCCCGACAACAGCACTGCTCCCTCGCCGCGCCGTCGACCTGCACCGTCAGGCACATCCGCGCGTACTTCCAGAACGGCACCCTGCCGGCCGCGGGAACCGAGTGCGAGCAGGACTACGACCTGTTTGAGCTGCCGTCGCCGAAGGAGTTTGCCGTGCGCAAACGAGGAGGCGGAGAGGAGGAGGTGGATGAGCTGGAGAGGGCGGCGTACCAGCTGTCGCGCAACGCGGACGTGGTGATGCACCGCGGGCCGTACCGCTTGTAACATACCAGTGTGTGTGTATTCGAGAACCACGGTGGCCGGGCGCCGCCGACATGTCGGTGTGTGGTTTCTAGAGGATAGTAGTATTCGGTCTATTTCGTCGCGCTCGCTAAATCGAAGAAATCATCGTCCGCTGCCGCCTGCCGTGTCCCTCCCGTGATGCACCTTGTCCGGCATCCGCAGGCCCTTGTCCACCGCCTCCTTGACCTTGCGCTCCAGCTCCTGCACCTTGCTTCCCTCTCCCCCCTCCTCCTCCTCTCCTCCATCGGCGGAGGCGGTCTGCTCCAAGTTCCAGTTACCCGCGCCGCCGCGCCCGCCCATGCCCCGCGACGCCGCCGCGCCGCGCTTGCGCTCGAGGCTCGAGGCCACGGCCGAGTTGACCTCGCCGGCCAGGTGCTCCTCGTTCTCGCGCGCCGAGGGGAGCCGCTCCGCCTCGACGTAGTTGCCCGCCCCGCCGCGGCCCGCGCGACGGGCGGCGCCCGCGACTCCGACTCCGGCTCCGAGATCCGATGTCGTCGCTGAGGGCGCGGCGTCGTTCTCCGATTGGTGCTGCTGCTGGGCTTCGAGGTCCTGGGGGGGAAGGGGTCGCGAGGTCAGGTCCATGCTGCAGTGAAATATCATGCGCCGCGCGCGCGGCGGCAGAGAAAGGGGCACGCAAACTCACCTTTGAACTCCGGGCCGCGTCCGCGGCGGGGACGTAGTTGCCGGCTCCGCCCCGACCGACTCGGCGGAAGACGTCCTGCTCCGGTGCCATTTCCTGTTGTTTCCCGCCGCCCTCGTTGTTCGATCTGTGGTCTGGCGAAGAGGGGTATAGAAAAAAGGTTAGAGTTTGCGGCAGCTCAAGTCAGTGAGGGTGCTCCCTGAGGTCCCTGGTGCCTGGCCGAGGGGTCCCCTCGCAATGAGCCGAAACAGACGGGGAGTCGCATGACAACCATGTGGCGGACGGCGGGCGCAGCTATCGCGCTGACGTCATTGGGCGATAAGGGGGCACGACGCAGGACTTGGGAGTCCGAGAAGGGATCGTTGATGCGTTCAATTAGAGCTGAAGTTTCTCGATGAAGAAACGTAATAGCCTACTAGGCGTTGATGAGTTTCGGTTGCTTGATGCTTGGTATTTGCGTGTTTGCAGGGTGGTTCCCCGCCTCGTGTAAGCCGCGCGAGCTGGACGAGTTCGCCGTGACGACCAGCACCGGACAGCAGGGTCGTCTATCATGTAAGAGGCATAAAAGTCGGGCTGACTTCAATTCTGCCATACATGTGTCGATGGTTCCCCTTCAATTCCAGTCCGTAAAGAATGCATTCAGTCGTCGGCACCAGCCAGAGAGATGGTCGTTGCTCTGGCGGCCTCTTTGAAGCTCACGCACGACACAGAAACACTCCAGGCGCCCTCTTCGTCACACTTGTGAGCGAGTCCCGAACACCTTCTCGCCAGGGGACCCGTATTTTATGGCTGCTGCTTGCCCCTGGAGAACTACCCTGGTCGGCCTCGAAACGCTGTGTTCCATTCATTTCGCATCGCTTGGTCCGATCTTGCGTCTTCTGGGTCCGATTCCGGATCCGCCAGCGGGTCCCACTGGATAGGACGACTGCGGATCGTAGTTGCATCGTCGAACATAAGGATAAGGTCCATTGAATCATGGGTCTTTCGAGTGCTCTGTGGAGGCCATTACTTCGAGTATTCTCGTTTGCCCCTTGACGCCAGTTGGGACGGTCATTGTGAGTCTGGTCAAAACGACAACCTACTCGGCCGTCCGCACTGTACGCACATCGATAGTCGCGCCGATTACCTGGACAAGTCAATGTAGAGTTTCACGATCCTCTATGAGGACAATATTACCAGCGCCGAGTAATCGGCTTTCTTGATTATACCCACAATCAACCTGCCGCGACGGCACAAGCCCTGTTGCTTCGACTTCGGCCCCTGAGTGAGCTGCCCTACTGCAATGACCTTGCCTGCCCGTCCACGAACGTGAGTCGGATTTCCAGTGATCGTGGTGTTGGATTCTACGGGGTTTGCGCGGAAGAGATGGCTCCCAGCGTCATGACGGGTCCATAGTGTCGCCTGTCGCCTCTACGGGAGGCTACGTCGAGGAACAACTTGGTCAGCATCGCCAGCTTGAAGTGGAGGGCAGAGAGAGGTGGTATTTGCGCGCATATGTCGCAAGAGAATCCTGGAAAGTGAGATATCGCCGTTGAGCCGCGTCCTGCTGCCTTCGATAGGCAGTTACCATCAGGATCCGTTGATATGGACAAAACAGATCCATGACGGCTTGTGATTCTCTCGTCTCTCCTGGACCTACACTTTCATCAAACCAGAATCCCGACTAACAGTTAGTCGCTGCTGCAGGCCTTGCACTTGACTAGTTGCCTCCGAGGTAGCTTCAGCTTGGCCTGGCATGTTCGTCGCCGACGGACGGGAGGTCTTGCCTGTGGATCACCACTGGTGAGCAGCGTCGCTCCCCGCCTGCGCCGCCGGGAAACCCCACGATTGTTGAGGACAGTCCCGGGCCAGGTATCCACTGCGGATCATGGGCTGGCCGGCACGGCGACTACAGTGCCCGTAGTCGATGCCATTGCGCCATGGACGTGGCCCAGCATGCGGATAAGAGCAAGTGACGCACACGAAACATTTCGAGCGAAGCCAAGCCCGCCATTGTCGACGTTGGAGCGAGAGGTCAAAACCCTAGGGTAGGGTATGGCGCGGCTGAGCCCTCGTTGAGGGCTGACGAAGTTTAAACAAGTCAAGTTGGCCGTCCACCCCCGGCGTGCCCACTTGGGGTGGTGACTTGTTCTGCGGATCGCGATCGCAGCTCTTCATCGCCGTCGAGGAACGCGATTCACTCAATGCGTCCAATTGGCCCGCTCACGCCCCAGCCGCGACTCCGCCGCGGGTGGGTTTGCGGCCAGAACGACGGGGGCACGCAAGCCCCAACTTCACGTCTCGTCTGGCCCATCAAGGCCACAAAATCGCACCGATGACATTCCCCAGCAATCGTTATCTCGGCCGGCTCATTGAGTCGACGAGCTGGCGGCGCGTGGCTGCGCAGTACGAGCATGCGGCCCTCGCATCGCATTCTTTGCGAATGGTCCACCCACAAATGCAGGCTGCGCAACCATTCCGAGCCATCGCGACGTCGAGCTTGATTGACATGACGGGCGGCCGATGCGGGTCAGCAGGCGGATAATTTGGGAACAGCACCACGGCCGGGCCCATGCTCTGCCGAGAACCATGCAAGTTTGGCCCTCTGCAGGCCGCCGAAACAAGTTGTGATTGTCGTCGCCGACCGGGGTAGCTCTGGACGGAGTTTACCCCGAGCCGTGAATCGCGGCAAACAGAGGCATAGCTTCGCGACTCGATTCGCTTCCAGGCCAGATCGTCCCGACGCTCGTCAGCCGAGGAGAGAGCGATCCTCGGGACAATCGCTGATTGTCAGGAACAACGAGATCAGGCGACCCGTTCAGGTAAAGAGGCCACTGATTCCCGTGATTGACACGTCCGAGCCTAGACGGGATGCTGGTCGTCTCCGTCCTGCACCCCGGTTCGCGATAAACACCTGCGGGTGACCGACGTCGCGTCCTGTGCCCAAGCCCCTCCCCACGTCTGCCCCATTTAATCCACATCCGGGGAAATTGGCTACGAAGCTCAGAACTGAGAAGGCTTCGACCACGACCGACACAAGTGGCGGCAACGACCTTGTCATGCCCTGAACGGGGTCGTTCGTCGCCTCAAGGAACAAAGAGCGCATGACCGGAGGCTCTAGCGCGGTGGAACTCGAGGGAGAAGGGAGGAGGTGGCGTCGAGCAAGCGCGCTGCACCGTCCGTCAGGTGGGCTCCTCCAAGAGTCTCATCGCCGACGAGGCTAATGGCGGCCAGTAGCTGGAGCTCTCCTGGTGGTGGTGGTGCATTAAAACGAGGGGAAACGGCCACGGGTTGCTCGCACGCGCTGGCATTATTGGACCAACCCCTTGCCGGGCCGGACATCCATGGATGGTCCCTCTCGCCAGGCACGGGTTGTGGTGCGGGCACAACAAACGAGAGGCCCGCATTGCCCACGTTTCGCTGGCGTGACGGGACGAGCTGTGCTTGGTGCATATTTTTTTTTTCTTTCTCCCTCTTTCGACGGCGAGGGCCGAAGGTCCAGGGGTCCACGATGGCTCGATTTCCTGGCGTTCTGATGTGCTGCTGGGCCCTCTGCGGCATCTCTCGTCTTGCTGCGGGCCGTTTTGGCGTTTGCGGGGTACCGACCGGACTGGCCAGGTTGCCTTGCTTCGTCGAATGCTGTGCTCTGCACGGCGCCGGGGGAAGCACATCACCGAGCAGGGCTGCCTGCATGGAGCATTTAGCAAGCTGCCTATCGCGGGAGCCTTCAGTCAATGGCTTGAAGAACGCCGCCCGACGCATTGGGAAGCCGGCAGGGGCGCACGTTGGTCGACTCGGCCGTTCTGTGCTGGGACAGCCCTCCTACAGTAGTACTGCCCCCAGTATGGGCTGCTATCCCGGGCACCCGCTGGATTGCATGTTATCGAGGACATGCAGCAAAGCAGCTCGAGACTCTTCGGCAGAGCGCGCACGGCCGGGCGTGGCTGCATCGACGAGAGGCCACCAGACCAGCCCCAGCCAGCGAACCGCTAGCTGCACGCCTGGCCCAAGGGCTGACGGACCGGGCAGTGGTAGGAGCGGCTTGCGTTGCACTTCGCCCCCAGACGGGCGCGACTGGTCCATGTGCAATGCGACAAGAGGGAGCAAGAAAAAAAAAAAAAGTCGTGTCCAGTTGCGACAAAGGGAGAGCTGGTCCGTCATGCGATGATTGCTGAAGGGAATTGAATCGTCAACGCGCGCGCGCTTCCTTGGGTCGAGTGAGCGTGCCCTTTCTGACCATGGAAGCAGCGGCCTGACTGCGGCTTCCGATGTCGCAGCGAGCGATGACTGTCCTCGCAGTTCGAGGAAGGAGCGCACCGCTGACTACCTAGATTGAGGCGCCCAGATCCCAGGGCGCCTCAACCTATCCATGGACGCGCTGCGCTTATGGTCGCGGGTCCCAAATCGCCCAGGCAATCCACTGTTGGCCACCCCCCCAGCGGATGCCTCCACTGCTTCAGAAGGGCGGATGGATGAACTCCACTGCGCCGCCTCTCCCTTCGGACGTCGACGGGAACCTGACGTGGAAGGCGTTCCTACAAGTCACTTCGGCCCTTGGCCACCAGTTCACACTCTCAATGTCTCATCAGCGCCGGATCGTCCAGCGCTCGGAGCGTCAACCGCCAAGTGGCTCTGTTGAATCTGCTCTTTCTCTCTCGATTCGGCGTCATCGCCATTGAACGCTGGAGCATTCGATGTCGTCGTCCAGCAGATCCCGCAACCCCTGCTGGGCCAGTCGACATGTTACCTTGGCTGGTCCCCGCCCGCCGAGATACGAGCGGCGAGATACCCCGCCTCGAGCCCCTCACCAGCCGGTGCAGACGGGAATGAAGCCGGCCACGACCTGGTGTTCGTGCAAGCGCATAACACGACACAGGCGAAGGGCACTGCGCAATCCCGCCAAGCGTGCAGCGATGGCCACTGCGGACACAGAGCTCGCCAGCATACGACGGCGGCCGTCCGTGGGGTGATGAATCGGTCCACCTCACTGTGACGAGACGGCGTTCAGCACCAACCCGCTTGCTCAACGTGCTTGCTGCCACATATCCCAGTATGCGACACGCGGATGCCGTCGGCGCCGGCTGGCTCGCTGCCCTCGCCTGTTCGGTTGGGGCTGGGGTTGGTGGCGTGCTCGCTGCGTCTGGACGCGCCACACACGGGTTCATGGCGCTATCGCCACTGTATGAAGTCGTGTGCAGTCGCGACGAGAAAAGTGCTGTAGGTACAGTACGCTCACTGCTCGCCCATGTCGTGCATAACCCGCGACACAGGACAAGTGCTCGCGCGCATGCCCTCGCACTGGCTGCGAATGCCGCACCGTGGCACACAACCACCAGGCAGACTGACCAAGGTTCCCTGGCCCAATGAAGCGCCACCCCTCCTGAACCCAGGAACCTGCCCTGCAAAAGACGAGCACCAGCACCACCAGCACCGACACCAGGGCCAGCCAGGAACCGCGACGCTTGGCCGGGACCGAACGGGCCGCCGCCTGCAGGGACGCGAGACGAGCGAGCCCATTGACGAGGCGACGCGGGCGGCGGCGGCGTGAGCGAACTCTTCGACGTCTGCAATTTCATTCACAAGCCCAGAATGGATTTCTATTTCTGTACTTGGCCATCGCATGCCGGACGCTGAGGATTCCAGCGCCAGCACAAGCATCAGTTCCAGGCTTGTCGGCATGGTCTCCATGTCGTGTGGCCTTGTCTCTGATCCGCCGACGCCCCTCCCCTTCGGAGGTCACGCTCGGCCGCGGGCCCCCCCTCCGTGCGAACAAGATTCCCGGCTCCCCAACGCGACGCCCGCGCCTCTCCTGGCGCCCGTCATGTGAGGTCACAGTCCACGTAACCACGGACGGATGAGTAAGGCAGACGGAGAGGCGCCAGAGGGCGGGAGGGCACGGGAACCCACTGCCTACCGCTACCCCAGGGTTTTATAACCGCATTCGGCATTTATACAGAGCACGCTGCCTGTCCTTGGATCATGGTGACGATGATTCCCCGGCCGAGATCGCGGAGGAATTGGAAGGGTTGAGTTCAGCGGCGGCGTCCACTTCCCGCGACCGGCAGTTGAGCTCCGAGGCGCAAATGGACGACGTGATTGCTGGCGAGCGTTTCACAGCCCTGGACGGGGGAGCCTGGGATCCCAGCATCGGCCTGCACTGCAGTCCTATCTGTACCTTCATCCATGGGAGGTATCCGCACGAATACAGGCACACATGCACAACGCCTAACCGGAAAGCTGCCATTGTGCACCCCATCGCAGGGGAGCACGTGTCGCGGCCACAGTGCATCAATAGCTGCCGAGACGCCGATGCATGCTCGTCCAGTCCTGTTCGTCTGGGTCGATCATGGCGCGCTCATCAGTCAACAGCGTCTGCACACGCAAGGCATGCCTCGGCCGGGCAGCCCGCCACAGGTCAGGTCGCGCGGCGCCCACCGCTCATCGCCGCCGGCCAGCGCGGGGCGAGCGCTTCACCGGCCTGGTTATGCTTCACGGTGGAGGCCCAATTGCCAGACCAGCCCAGCCCGTCTGCTGGCCGAGAGCCCTGGACTCCTGGAGACTCCATTCCGCGCCGCACGTCCGCCACTGTCGACGCATCTACGGCCACCAGTTCTCGCTCGCCCGAGCGCTCACCTCGCCTCACCCGACGGCAGGCTCGCGCAGGCGCAGGCGCAGGCTCACCCAAAAAGGACCACGGCCACGGCCCATGGATCCAGCAGCAGCCGGCGGAGCCCACACACCCCCCCAAGACCCGACCTGATGATCACCTCGACACCGGCCGGCAGCCAATGGCGTGGCTGTCCTCCCCCCACCGCCAGGCCGTCGCAACAGTGCGAGCGCCAGCGGCCCAAAGTGGATGTGGCTCTGTGGACACGCCGCTCCTGGAACCCGCTGGAAACCTGAGCTGACGTGACGCCCAAGGGGGGGCCTTCGGGGCCTCCACCCCCAGCCCGGTTTGCCAGCTTGACGCCCCGCGCCTGCGCCTGGACCGTCACCAGCCCCAACGGCCGAACCACACCCATCGCCAGTCGCCGCTGCCTCCCGGTAATCGCAACACTTGGGGCGCCGTCGAATGCATTTAGCCCGCATAGTCTGTGTCCAGCGCCCAGAGCGCGCCCAACATCCGTGGGACCTACTGCCATGGCCTGCTACGCGCGCACCCCCCCCTCCGCCCCCTCTCGCTCCTGCCGTGCCTCAGCGCACACGCACACCCCTCCGTTCCCCGTGGCCCGTAGGCAGGCAGGCAGGCGGCCTGTGCCTGTCCCAAAATATTATTTCTCGTCTTCGCTGCATGTCGCGCGCGACTCTGCCTCTCCTCTCCAACTCTCCCGACCCCAACGACGACTGACTGTGCAATTCGTGTTCCTCGACTTCGCCAACAACCCCGAGCAGCGCTCCCACAGCCCAGGAGAGGCTTCGCTGCCGCATTCCTCCTCCACCACTCCCTCGGTTCGGCGTTCTGTCGTCTCGCCTCCCTGAGCACTCCAAGCCGCTTGGCCATGGCCTCCTCCAAAGTATGATGACCAGTCGTCGTGGGGAACCGCCTTGTGCACCTGCTTGTTCCCGCTCTCGCGAGAGACAGTCTTGCTGATCACTCTTCTTCTGCCCTCGTTCAGGAAATGCAGCCCTCCGCCAGGCCATTGACGCACCAGCGCCCCTCGCTGTCGAGCTCCTCCCCCTCCGGCTTGCCTGGCCGCCAGGCCCACGCCCGAACCAACTCGCACTCGCACTCGCTCCTCACCGGTGCCCTCAATGCCAACCACCGAGTGACCCGTCGCAAGTCGGTCACAACCAATAACGGCCCCAACTTTGCTGCTCTCACGGCCGCCGTCGCCGGCGGAGAGCAGACGGCTGCCATGCCCATTGCCAACGCCGCTCGACGCAACACCACGTCCAAGGCAAGGGTTGGCAGCCTTCCTTCGCCTCCCGCGAGCCTGCCGCTCCACAAGACCGTCCCAGAGATTGTCAAGGACAGCAGCGCCATCGACGACGAGACTCACGACGGGTCCGCGGACGAGGCGGCGACCAAGTTCCAGAAGGCGCGTATCAGGCGTGCTAGTGACGGCCAGCCGCTCGCCAAGGAGTCCAAGAAGAGCAACCGCGTCGAAGTCCGATGCGAAAAGTGTGGCAAGGGCTACAAGCACAGCAGCTGCTTGACCAAGCATCTGTCAGTACCCCTCCCGCTGTCGTGGCCTCTTTTGCGTGCCTGCGAGCCGCTTGGACGAACAAACCAGTCTCGAGGGTCGACGAAATGGCTGTGGCGTGCGTGGACTAGATTTTGTTAACGGTTTTATAACGGTAGATGGGAGCATACCCCCGAGTGGTCCTACACCTCCAAACTGCTCATCTCGAAGCACCAGCAGGTCCAGCTTCTCGAGGCTGCCTCTGTGCTCGTTGCAATGAACGGCAAGGAGAGCACGACCACGCCGCCAGACTCGGCCAAGGACTCGGCCAGCGAGCCCGACTCTGCGTCTCCTGCAGCTTCGGGTTACTCGGAGCAGCCCGAGCGCCAGAGCTCGGCTGACACCACCCCGCCCCCGATGACTGACGGCATCAATTTTGCCTCGTCGTATCGTGACACGTCGGAATTTGCGCGAAGCTACCAGTCGGGCTCGCTCAAGCCATCCTTCATGTCAGGGAGCATCCCTAGTGGAACGGGATTCGGCCACTCGCGCCAACCCAGCCACGAACGTCGCCCACCGTCGTCGGGCGCCAACAGGACGGGCCAAGAGGACCGCGACCTGGCGGCTGCCGTGGAACTGCTCAGCTGCAGCTTTGGAAGCAACAACGGCTCCCACGGCACCGTGACGCTGCCGGCAGACGCACCCCCCGTGCCTCCAGTGCCGGCGCAGTACCTGGACCAGGCGTCGTCGCTGGCGAGCGCCAGCTTCATCAACAGCTTCCCGCGACGTCAGCCGGAGAGCTTCACGCGGGGCGAGCTGCGACGCGGCAGCGAGGACGTCAAGATGGAGGACAGCGGCGATGACGACGACTTCGACATGCGATCGCGGGCCCGAAGCGACGAGGACGACGACGGCGTCTTTGGGCGTATGGAGGAATGATTGCAACGACTGCATGAGAGCGAGCATATCTGGGAGTCCGGACATGCCATGATGGCGGAGTTGGATATATGATTTTGGATATCACCCATGGGAGGAAACCGGCGCGGTCGTTGTTCGTATGACGGCATAGTCTCTGTATGAGGTGGTTCTGCTCCGCCGCCGACCTTCAGCACCGAAGAGTGGAGGGCCTCGTCCTGCAGCGGGTCATTGTGGACTGCGCGTTTGCGGGCGTGATTGCACCTCCACGAGGTTAAAGTGAGGGTTTGGAGAGGCGTCGAGCGAACGCCCGAATAAATACCAATTGAATCGAAATATACCTCACAGGCGTCGCCTGAGTCACACCCGTGAGGCGCGCATGACAGGCGGCCTGGCGCGGGCAGTGAGGGCCCGTTTCTCAGGCAGGGTGATTGCATGCCCAAGTCGTTTGCATCATCACAGCTTGGAATGGAGGGAACAAACTCTAGCGATGCATCACGGATGGGTGGAGAAGGGTGAGAAGCCAGCATCACGACCGGAAAAGCGAGGCGACTGGCAAGGGCGCGATGAATAGAAGAGAGCACGGCCAAAGAGACGATTCGACTTGATCTAAGTAAAGCGTCTAAAGACGAGAGTTCTCGAAGACACGGACGGAGGAGAATGGATGGGGGAAGAAAATTCAGTGCTAGCTTCGTGACCGCTCCGCCGATGAAATGAACCTTGCGTCAAAGTGGAGGGACAGGCCAGGCGCCGCCGTCACAAACGGCCACCAATCTGGCTGGACGGTGGGTTTCCCCAGCGACGTCACCCTTCTCCACTGCCGCTGCCCGGCGACACAGCACACCCAGCACAGCGCAGCTGAGCTGAGGTCAGGCCGTGAGTTCCCATTTCTGCTCCCCTCCCGAGCTCCCTCCACCCGCGTCAGCAGTTTTGCGCGCGCACGACAGACGCACTGCCCAAGTCGCGGATCAACGTCGCGGACGCGCACACATTGAACACACGACAAGACCAACTGCATATCCCTCCTTTGCGAAAACACGAGACGACCCCGAAATACACCCCCGGGGCAGGCACGCAGACGAACGCGATCTCGGCACGGCGCGACGGCTCAAAGAGTACAGTCGGACCGCAGCAGCGGATAAGAGCGCGACGCACAAATGGCGCCGGCTAAGAGGAGCGCAAAGTCGGATGCCGCGGTGGCGGCCAAGGCTCATGAGGCGCTCGACAAGGTGGCGGATGCGCAGGCCGTCGTGCCTGCGCTGCGACAACAGCAGCAGCAGGGGAAGCTCCCCGTCGCGTTGCAGTTCCCCATCGCGGCGGCCCTGAGCTTCGCGCTCGCGAGCCTGGGCTACAGCATCGTTGGGGAGGTGAGCAAGGGGGAGCTGGTCTCTGTGATCCACGCGCAGGATACGTGGGGCCAGGTGGCGATCTTGGCTGGGTGGAGGATGTAAGTCTCCGACGAGCGAGAAGATGGAAAGGACAAAGCTGACGGATGACTGTAGCATCGAGCTGGCCGTCGCGTGGTTTGGCAATATGGACAGCTTGGACGTGGCCATGATGGACCTCTTGTCCCATGCGCCGTCGGTGAGTATCATCCCTGCTGCAAAGGCATATAGCAGCGATGACAACTAACGGTAACGGCTGAACAGCTCTATCTTCTCGCGACCTTTTACTCCCTCAGCCCCAAGACTGCGGTGTCGGCGCTCGTCGTCGATGTTGTCTCGGCAGCCGTGCCTTTTGCGCTTATGCGCCCCCTCTCCGAGATCCATCGGCCGGGCAAGGGCGGTAACCGCGAGCTCATCGATCTGCCTATGCAGCTCTATACGGCGGCTCTGTCCACGGGAATCTACACTGTGATCCTCGCCCTGTCGCTCCGGCTCATGCTGCCGCGCATTCTGGTCGTCTACTTTTCCGGCCTGCCCAGCGTGGAGCCCGCGTACTCGGCGACGTATACCGCTGTGCTTCCCGTAACGGGCGTGTTGGGGGCGGCGGCGAGCCTCTTCATCTTCGCGCCGTTCGCCACGACGGGCAAGTCCAAGGAGGACGACAAGCTGGGCAAGTTCGACCCCGTGGATGCGACGCTCGGGCAGACGGTGCGGTGGAACCTCTGGGGCTACACGGCCAAGACCAAGGTGGTGATCCGGCGGACGGCGGTGGCGGCCTTTGTGACGGGCGTCAACACGTACCTGGCGTGCACCATGACCATTTCCGGCATCGAGTCGACGGGTGCGGTGGCATATGCCGCCGTCTGGGTCGTTGCCGCGTTGAGCACGGGACTGGGCCTCGGATTGGTCGGCGGCGGTAGCGACTGAGGCGGCTATTTGGGCCGCGGCTGGGACGAGGAGGCGGCTCGCATGCGCGGATGACACAGTATCATCAGCCTTATGGGGGGGAGCGGCGACTCCGACATGCAAGGTACGCGGCGGGCTCGGCAGCGGCGAGCCGCACCCTAGGGCTGAGGACAGGGGCAGGTAATACGGAAGAATGTGGGAGAGCACCGGGATGGGGAGGAGGAGGAGGTGGTGGTTTGGGCTTGGGGGCCGTGGTAACTTGGGTCAGGGCTGGCGGCGTTTTCCAGGAGGAGGATCCTGTGCGCTTCGATGTGCTTGGGTATGGCGGATGGTATTGGCGAAGGGCGAGAGAAAAGGGGATGGGACGGACTTGCAGTCGATATACCACATCTTACTATTTTTTCCTTTGGTCTTACATACATACATGGCAACCAACTGAGGCTCTCCGTCGATGCCTGCTGTGGTGTGAGTGACTGTGTGTGTGTGGAGGTGGCTGCTGGCCCGGAGGCGGCTCTGCGCGGAGACGTGCGCCCACCCCCCACCTCACCCGACGGTGTCAACATGCGAGGTTTCAGCTGGGAGCCTTGCGCGCCGGCGGCGAACCATGTCATCGGGACCTGCTCCGTACCTTGCTTCGACCCGAGGACCAAAAACGTGGGTGCCTGGGATTAGCAGCAACAGCAACGGCGACATGCTTACAGGCCTGGGACGGGGACTGGGGCCAGAACCAGGGCCGGAGGCACCCACCATGACGTCTGGGTTCCTTCCCTCGACGTTATTATAGCACAAGCGTGTGCCTGCCTACTGTACTTGTACGTTGCTGCTGTTTCGTTGGCCTTTGCCTGGCGCCGGGGAGGCCGGCGCTTGGTTTACGGCACGGAGGGCACGGAGGGCAGGCACGGGTGTCGACGTAGGGCGGATGGATTACTGCCAGGAACGTGTGGAATACATTTTTGACAGTTTATACAGTTTGGAAAGACTAGAAGACTAAAGATAGAATTCGAAGGAGTTGCCAGACTGTCCAATGCTGGCTATGATGGTGGTGACACGAGACAAGGGAGCCTGAGCAGGAGGGGAAAGGGGAGAGGGCGACAACGAGAGACGGGCGAGGAGGACCGGGAGTCTGCATCGAAGTGGAAGGCGGTGATGCTTCCCAGTAGGCTGTCCGGATACAGCGAGGTGGTGGTAAAGGACCTGGAATCGCGCGGGGAGATTGGCGAGGAGCGCAAAGGAGGGGTTGTTCTCGCGGGTGGCGGTCCACCGTATCACAGTGAGGCCTGCTGTAATTGGTGCCATTTTTAAGCTTGCTCCCTTCTGTCCTCTGCCTCCGTTGCTACCTACTAGCTAAAGGTACCTAACACCTGCCCGCTGGTCTTCTTCCGGCCCCGTGGGTTGCACAACTTGGAACCTTTTTTCGTCGCATTTCGATAATTCCAATGCCTCGTCGCGTGGCACGGGTCGCGTCGACAAGCCATCAGTCCGTCAACCGCAACACGACCGAACCTCGTCAACGCACAACGGGACGGGGGTGCGCGCGCGCGAGGTGTCCGCCTTGCGAGCTACCAGCTACAGCAGAGGTCGGGGTCGGGTCCAGGTGGTGGGACGCAGAGCGCAGCGCAGCACAGCGCAGCGCAGCACAGCAGCAGCACCCGACAACACTGCTGGCGGACGCCTAGGCCCTGAGGTGCCCAGCGAAAACCCGACCAGACGCTGCGCCGCACGCGAGCACGCCCGCCCAGCAACGCGGAGCTGCAGCTGAACGCGGAGGGGCCTGAAGAAACCTAGCTGAGGTCCTCCAGACAAGAGCTTACACTCCTGGGCCTGTCTGCCTGTCTGCCCGACGCGCCGCTGGTCTGCTCTGGTTCGGCAAGGCCACCGGCCTGATCCCACTCCCGCCGCCGGATTGCTAGCTGGTGCACCTATCCAAGGCAAGGAATTTCCAGCCAAGGCTCCAGGCCACCCCCCCAGCATAACGGCGTCAGAGCTGCATTCGCCGTCCCCACCATAACGCCCGGGTCACCTTGCTGGAGGAGGTGTGGACAAGCCGTCGCCGTGCTTTGACTGGGGGACGCACCGGCATCGCGGCAAGCTCGCCGTGGCCGCCGCACACACGACCCGACGGGGCATCCATACGCCTGGGGTGGTTGACGGAGCGAGCGAGCGAGCGAGCGATCCCGACCGGGACACTCTGCCGGGCCTGCCCTACCAGGCACCGTGCCTTACACTTCCTCACCTACTTAGTCCCTTACCTTACCTTGTAGGCACCTTGCCCACCTTGTCTTGCCTGGGTGTGCGGATTCCTATTTTGGTCCAAACGGGGGGGCCGGCTGCTTTCCCTTCTCCTTGGGGCCAGAAGGCTAATAACAGGGTGTCCTGCCCTACCATGACGGAGTGGCCGACGACGCCGACGACGACATACCGGCCCAGAGAGCCTATCTTGAGATACGTCTAGTTTCAGCTTTCGACGTCGTGCCTCGAAAGCGGAAACCTGCACGACGGATGCTGACGGCTATGATGCAGCTTGTTGGGCATCTTCGAAGACGAATCCTCCTTGATCGCGCGGGCCTCGACTTTGCCTCACAGTTCTCGATATATCCGGCCTTGACTAGGACTAGCCAGGAACCAAACACCTTTTAGGGTGACAACTTGATAGCTGGTATAAGATGAATCCCGTTTCCAGTTTCGTCGAGTCAACCACCCCTGCTAACCCAGGCACCCAGCTCCTTTTGATACTACTATACACACTCGGCAAACCTAGTCGCCCTTCAACTACTTCTGGTCATTGACACCCTTGCCAGCCTTATATATATATATCTTGGCCTCACCCACACGTCCTCGGGCCTACCCTCCCTCTTCACGGCCACTCCTTGCTCTCGCCGTGGCGGCTATGTCAGAATACTACTACGCCGCCAGCGCCCCCGCGGGACTCACTTCAGGTCGACACTTCAAGCGCTCGCGGAGCATCAAGAGCGACGACCCGCTCAACTTGCGCGGCCCGCTCGAGGTCGTGGGCTCGCTCAAGTCGGGCCGCAGCATCAGCCTCGAGGGCGACTTTGTCGTTCGCGGCAAGCTCGACGCGTACGGCGACATCACCATGAACGGCAGCGTCACCTGCGAGTGAGTAGCCCTCCCCCCTGAATCCCCAGTCCTCGGCATCGCGACAGCATGTCCCGGCCCCTGATGCGCGGCAATCGACTGACCGAGCACGCGTCAATCCAGGGGTGACATCAAGGCTTACGGCAACATATCCGTGACCGGGTACTTGTCTGCAAGGTACGGCGTCCCCGGCGTGTGTGGCCCGGAGCAACGTGCAGCCCGCAGCTGACAGACTGGGGTTGTTGGCGGGGATACAGCAACGGCATTAAAGGCTACGGCAAGCTAAAGATTGAGGGCACGCTCGAGGGCACCGAGGTGGAGGTGTACGGCAACCTGAGCATCACCGGATACCTGTGAGCTACTAGAGATTCCGACCGGCGCCGTCGCACGCGGCGGCACCGGCGATCGCGGCCCTGGGACCTTGCATGCTGACGGCGCGAAATAGGAAATGTCGGAAGCTGGTGGTGTACGGGTCGCTGACCCTCATCGGGCCAAGCTCCACCTACGTGGTTGAGGAGTCGGAAGAGGTGGTAGGGGCAAAGCTCATGCGGGAGCAGGAAGCGGACTGGGAGTTTTAGGGCCTCGTGGTGCATTGCGACTGGTTTCTTCTTCATCGGTCTTTTTTTTTTTTTGGTCTTGTCTGTGTGTTTTGGTTGCTATTTGGCTTGGATCGACTGCCTGGGCTTGGTGTTTGCATTTGCACATGTTCCTCTTTCTTTCTCTTCGTCAACCACCCCACCCTTTTTTTCGCTGTACATTTGAGAGCTTGGAGACCGCATTAGACACGGATTTGGAGAGCAGCAGCAGCAGATAGTATGATTGACGGGGGGCGTCGAATCGAATGTTTCAGGTACCTTGCATGCATGCAGCGCAGGAATTGGAAACAGGCGCGCGGCAGACGTCTGCCGAGCTTACACGGGCGTCGGCCGCTCCGCTCCACAACCACCGTCGTTGTTCTACCGTCCGGAATCCAGCGCGGCGTCCAAGGTGTCGAGTGTTCCTTGGGTGGGAAGAGCCTCCGTTGCCAAATTTGGAACACGGCCGGGGCACGGCCAATGGGCGTGGGCGGGCGACCGGGGGTGGCAGGGATGGGATGGACGCAAATAGTAGTAACGGTAGTTAGTGAACGGGCTAAGCTTAAACGCGACGGCGGGATGATGCTCCGTTGGGGTCAGCCTCATGGGTTTTTGACACGCGCGCTCACGGACTGGGGCAATTTTTTTTTCCTTGGCTGGAGCAGACGCGACGGTGGCGGCTGAATGGCTGGGAGGTTTGGGATAGCCGCCGATCGGTGCAGTCACTGGGTTGTGTTGTTTGGTGGATGGGATGGGCGGCCGGACGGTCGACCCAGGGCGCGGTTGTAATGGGGCAAGATGAAAGGGCGTGACTGTACGTACGGTCAGGCCGAGGCGTCAGCCATGGGAACGATCCAAGGTGAATGACGACAGGCGCGTGCATGAATTGGAGAGGTGGGCTCGTGTCAGTTCACCCCGGCGCTTTGGTTGCAATGTGGCTGCTTGAGTTCGGTCAGCAACTTGGCATGTCAATCTCGCTTGGGGACCTCCAAATGCATGCACCGACGACGTGTGGCAGCCAGGTGTTAATGAGCCAGGGCGACTGAATGGTCGGAGGTGAGTTTGTTGTGCGTTTCTTTGGTACAAGCAATTTGTGAGTCTGTGTGTTTGTGGGGTGATGAATACGTCGACTGCTAGACAACTGAGGAGACAGATATCTGCTTGGAAAACAAATCCGTTCGGGGGCAATTGTGCCGCAAGTGACGGTCTCCCTAATCCCGTACCTACCCGTCGTCACAGTGGCATCGTCAAGAAACTCAACACAGGGCAGTATGATGTTCACTTTACGCAGCACAAATATTCGGTTTGTACATGACACAGTGCTCGTAACATTGGTATGCTGTCACAAGCATCGGGTCGCCCAACCCCGGATCCGAGGTTCGTGGCTTGCATGTCATTCTTTGGAGGCATGGATTCCGGGCGATGTGACCAGATCCTGGGCTGCCACTTCGCTCACCCCGGACTGCCTTCCCTGGCAGCTGCAGGTCTGCAGTCGGCTTGTCAGTCAGGGCTTGCCGCAAGCCTGGAGAGAAGTTATGATCATCACATTGACATGCAGGTCAGAAAGCTGCCATGGAAGACGACTCCATTCTTCAACTTCAATCTTGCTGACTCAGTGGAAACGTGGTGATGCTTGGCGGGTGGGGCGTATGGGTTACGTAATACAGCCCCCAGGAACCATCGCGCCCACCAGGAACCCACACGGCCCAGCCAAACACGGGTTGGCGCTTCTCCAACGCAGACAGCTCCGTCCACCATCACAAGGCCAGTCGCGCATCGCAACTCGCGACACGCCATACCCGCACGCCGACGAGCAGATGGCAGCGCAGACGCCCGGGCCGTCAATTCCCACCCGCCACCAACTACATCTGCGATAAGGGACGCGTCGCACGCGTCTCTCTGTGCCCATGGCCATGGCCGCAGAGGGCACGGAGCAGGAGCCCGTCGCCGAGGCCGAGGTCGCGGCCGCGTCGCCCACGGAGAAGAGCCCCGGCGACCAGACGACGGAGCTGGACAAGAATGCGACGGATGAGCCCGCCGTGGCTCCCACCGGCGAGATCGAGCCGCGCGCGGATCCCGATGCTCAGACGACCGTTACCGACTTTCTCGACTTCACCGAGTACCTGCCCTCCGACATCGTGCGATCCCTGACCCTCATCGGCAAGCTCGACGAGACGTACGCCGAGTCTTCGCTCAGGGTCGATGAATTGACGACGGCATGGGGCCGCCTACCTGGCGTAGCCGCCCACGAGAGGCCGGACCCGGTCAAGCTGCGCGCCGACATCTCGGAGCACCTGGACCGCGCCGTCAGCTCCAGGGTCTTTGCGCACGACGAGGCCGTCCGCATGTCCGAGAATGTCAACCGCCACTATAACAAAGCCAAGTTGCTACTCTCGAAGCTGCAGACAATGATGGACAACTATCCCGCCGAAGAGCCCAAGAGCCCCGTCGCCTCCAAATCGCCGCAAATGACGCGAGCGAAGCTGACGGTCCGGGCGACGGGCGAGGACGGCAAAAAGATCCCTCGGCACAAGATACCACGAATCACCGTCCCCGGAGAAGTATTGGCGCCGTACGATATTGAGTACGACACTTGCAGTGACGACAGCGACATAAGCTCCGACTCCGAGTCCGATATTCCAGCCACCGGGCGAAGGACGCCGGCGCCGGCGCAGCGCATCAAGTTGATTTCAAACAAGACCCCGAAATCGGCAAGCAAACCTCCGCGCCCGCAATACAGCACGGCTGCCATGAACGCTGCGGCGGCGGCGAACGCGGCGGCGCTCCTCAATCCACCCCCAGAAAACGCAGTGATTGGCAGCGCCGACGCGCCATGGTTGCAGCTGACGCACTATGAACTCGCTAAACTGCGGAAACGCATGAAGAAGAATGCTACGTGGACGCCTAGTGAGACCATGGTTGCGCGGGAGCTCAAGGCACTCGGCCGAGGACCAGACGAGTACCGAGACGCTAAGAAGAAGGCCGAGGACGAAGGCAAAACCTTCAACCCAACGGTTCCAACTCTAGTCATTGACGATGAGTCGGGCACGCCACAGCTGCCAGCCGGGGCGCTGAGCGCGGACTCGGTCGGATCTGAAGAGCACCCGACGAGTAATAGGGGCATGAAGCTTAACGAGGCTAAGAAGCTCAAGAGGGAGGCCCTGGCGAAGCTCGCGGCTGAGGAGGCCGAAGAGTCTGCCCGGCAGATGGCAGCGGCAGCGAAGCTGTTTCTGGGAGCCCCAAAATCGGAGAACTCCAAGGATGACACCCCCTCAGGCAAGTCGCGGGCGAATTCGCGATCCAACGGCAAGCGGAAGCGGGAAGGTGAAGGTGAAGCAGTCGAGGGAACGGATCGAGGCGAGACGCCTCCCCGTCCCCTGCCCAAGCGCACCAAGACTGAGACTCCGATCCCGCCGCCGCAGCCTATGCTTGGCCACAACGCGGCGCCGAATGCCGACGGCAGCGCAAACGGCCCTCTGCTTACCCCGGGTGGCTCTGTAGTGACACAGCTGGAGACGCCGGTACCGATACCAATGCCTCCACAAAGCTCCGCGAGATCAGCGGCGTCCCCGTCATCGAATGCCTCGAACGCCGGGAGCACAATCACGACTACTATACCTGTCAAACCGCCGGCTTCAGAAACACCCGTACCCCTCCCCAGGACGGATCAAAGGAAAACAGTCACGCCTGTGCCACCACCGACTCGGGAAAGCACTAGGCGTGAGACCCGAGGAGACGCGGCGAAGCGGACTCAGCAGCAGACAACTGTGCCGTCTGCAGCTACGGAGCAGAATCCGGTTAGGGCCGGTTCACGCGGGCCCACGCCGAACGTCACCCCCGTTCCTGAGGCTCAGACCGGCCGACGACCGGGCTCGCGGGGTCAAGCGATGAGCCAAGAGCCACCGTCCTCGCTAGCTGCCGACCGGCCGCGCCGTGCCAGCACCGCGCGCAACACGCCGGTGCCGGAGTTCAAGCAGCCACAAAAGCGCACGAGGCGACCAGCGCCCGGCGTCGTCAGCACCACTAACAGCGGCGGTAACAGCGCCGTGGGTAAGCGCAAAGCGGCGCCGAGGAAGAAGGCCCGCATGAAGAAGGAAAAGGGCCAGGTCACGGAGGCGGAGACGGAGATGGAGGAGGTGGACGACGAGGGCAACCCGATCGACCCCGACGAGCCCCGCTACTGCCTCTGCAACAGGGTCAGCTTCGGCACCATGATTCAGTGCGACAATGATGTAAGTGCCGACTCTGGCTCTCGCCGAAGGAGCCCCGCGCCCCGACCGCCGCCTCGTCGACGACAACAGCTAACAGCCCCAAAGAATTGCAAACATGAATGGTTCCACCTGGAGTGCGTGGGCCTGACAGACGTCCCGGCGCGGACGACGAAATGGTACTGTCCCGACTGCCGCAAGACGCTCAACATTGGCGAGAAGGGAGAAGTGAGTGCAAGAGGGGTGCGGAAGTAGGTCGGTCTACTCATATGAGTACAAGTCCGGGTCGCTACTGCGCGTGGCGTTTACCGGACCCTGAGCTTGAGCGTTTGGCGCAAGGGGTTTTGCTGCACCTGGATTCAGGGATTCTATGGGGTGTGACGGGAGGGGATATATCCTTTGCGCTTTCACACGAACGACGGCACGGCTAGGCCAGCTAGCCGTTGACCTCTGTACGACTATGAAATCTGTACGAATATCTGAAGCCATTATTCGAGCGCCAGTATTAGAGTGCTCGGGGGGATCTTCCCGCGTAGATCTCGAGATCGGAAGCCGCGGAAATGGGTGGGGAGGATCTCTTCAGCTCGGCAGCTTGGTAAGCCCTCGGCACTTGTTTCTCCACAGCTGACTGAGAAGCTCTGCGGCAGCTGTCCCGTATTTATGCTTCGCCGTGCGGAGGGGAGTATTCATGCAGCGAGTCCGCCATGGCGCGGATAAATCTGCTCGGCGTCCCTTCGATTGCCTCGCGCCTTTGCAACAACCCCAAACGAATTCCCCATCTGCGTCCCTACAGCAGCAGCAGCAGCTTCACCATGTCGGACCAGCAGCAACAGGAAGCGGGCTACCGCCCGGTGTACCCACAGGCCGGGGAGCTGCCGGACCCGGGGGTACGCGACTTCATCACCAACTTCTACCGCATCTCGGACGTGTACGACGCCAACGAGCAGTGGATCGGCAGCTTCACCAAGGACGCGCAGGTCACCATGGGCACCGCCAAGGCAAACACCGAGCAGGGTATGTCAATGCTTTTTCTTTCTCTCTTTCTTCCCCACAACAAAGCACGGGTGAATTGTCTTGGTGAATTGTCTTTGTTCAATGTCGCCGCAACTAATAACGGTGCCCGTGCCCTAGGAATCCGCGAGCTGCGCGCCAACATGTGGACGGCGGTGCGGCAGCGGCGGCACCGCGCCTTCAAGGCCTTCCCGGGGCGCTTCCAGGCTGCGGGATCGGGCGGCCCGGCCGAGGGCGAGGTGATGCTCTACGGGGACGTGACGCAGTGGCTCAAGAGCGCCGAGGCGGGCGCGGACCCCCTCGTGATTCCGTGGGCGGCGCACCTGGTGGTGAGGAAGGAGAATGACGCGTGGAAGCTTGCGCAGTATCGCGTCTGGCTGCAAAAATGAGGATGATTCCAGGGGGACTAGACTTTCAAAAGTTACCTCATGTCGCTGGATCTACATCTGCCCAAGTAACGGCATGGATGAGCTGAAGTAGGCAGCTCGGTAGCAATGGCCACCTTTGAAATCTGCGAGATGCGTCCGTGAAGAATCGACGCTACCAACAACCGCTTCGGCTCCGTATGCACGTCCCCCCGCTTCATGCCGGCGCATGTCTTTGCGGCTCCCGCGGCATTCCCAGGACGCTTCCGGCTGCGAGAGAGCATCCTGGCACGGGTGCGCCGGCGACTGGCCGGCACCTCCTCACACGGACATTCAGAGCACGCCCCCCTTCGGTATACGCGGGCCCGTTCGGTTCGCGCAGCCGCACTGTAGGAGATTGCGCTCCGGGTTCCGTGGATAGGCCGGGTGGCCTTGACGCAACGCGGAGGAGGGAGGCGTCCTTGCCCAGGTCGGAAGCCGGCGAGGGCTCGTGGCGATGGCGTAGGAGGCACGGCTCACCTGACCTCTCGTCACGGCGAGCCATCAGGTGGTGGCGTGCTGGTTTGGGCGCGAAAAGAGGGGCGTGCGTTGCGTGTGCGCAAAGCGTCCACGGGGGGTGGAAGGCCTGGAAGGCCAACGTGGTGAAGCGCCGTCACCGCGGTGGGTGAGTCAGCGGTCGCCCATCTTCGGGACGGTGAGGCAGGTCAGGAGGTACACGTGAGGGAGGTAGGTACCCCCGGGTACCCTCGCACCTCCGTCGGCGCCCGCGAACCTCAGTTGAGGTGGTTCCTGCATTGCTGGAACCTGGAAGGCTTGCGCCGTTGCCGCCAGCCAGCGTGTCATCCACTCGCACCCGGCGCTACGTATGGGGTTTGTTTGCTGGGGAACCGGTGTCGCGCAGCGCGGCGGCGGATTGCGCGCGGGTGCGTCACGGCATGGATGAGTCGCCGCCGCCGCGCCGTGGTAGGCAGCTGCATCCTGCGTAAATGCAGCTGTAGACGAGAAGAATGAGCACATCTTCGCATCCTTACCCGTGGCAGAACCAAGAGGGCCCGATGCGTCACCAGCCGACCAGCAGCTGCCCCGATGGGTGCACGGGGCGTCGACAGTGGCTAGCAGGCACCCTGGAGGGGACGCACTGGCGCGTCATCCCCGCGTTCGGCACCTGGCCCCGCCACGCCCCCCCGCCATCAGCTGGGCCGAGCACGCCGTGGGCCCTGTGAGGTGCCCCTGGCGTCATGGATCAAATGGCTCCAGCTCCAGTGTCAGTCCGGGCCTGGAGGCGCCCGGTTCAGCGTCCTCCCGCCCGAGGCATGTTGCAGGCACTTCAGCCCAAGGGTCAACGGTGTCGCCTCATCCGCCGACCCCCCGTTCGGGCCCCCTTGTCAGAGGTGATTGTGCTGTGCCTTCGCCGTGTTACAGCGAACCTGGAAGGCGACCCAGGTACCTCCAGGTACTGGCGTCATCAGCCTCTCGGCCTGCCCCCAGCTGCTGGCCATGCAGTGAGCACTTGGCCGTCCCGCCCAGCCCCATTCCTCGACTGCTTCATCCTGTCAACATTCCCCTGTCGCATAATACTCACAGCCAACGATACCAGAACAAAGCGTCTCTCTTTTGCACACCGAAACGACTCTCTCTACGATTTTCCTTGGACGTCCGTTTTCTTTTTGCCTTCTTCAACACTCTCCAAAACGACACGCGCATCTCTCCCGACTAGGCTGTTGGTTCGTGCCTTGCATTATCGCTACTCTGATAAGGACCGCGCCCACGCGCCCCCCGCCGTATCAGTCCTGCCCCTCTATCGACCGCCCCAGCGCTCATCCTCCGGCCTCGCAACCCCGGGGGGCTCGAAGCTCCCCTTCTTCGTCTTCGACAAGACACTCCGCCAGAACCTGACCAGGACGAGGACAAGGACTTGTTGGAAATACAGGCCCGCGTTCTGCTTCCCACTCCAAGGAGCAGGAAACTGCGCCTTTGCTCTGCGAAGCATCAGGGCGAATGCCTAGTACGTGGCAGCCGAGGCGGAGCCCTCCCGCGACGCGCTCCCCTCCCCTCCCATCCCTCGCTTCTGCACCATGTCGAGACACCCGCGCATGCACTGACCAACGAACCCTCCCCCCCCCCGCAGGCAAGAAGGACAAGAAGCATGCCAAAGAAAACGGCGGAATCGCCGCCGCGGTGACCAAGCAGGCCGCTGCAAAGTCCCCGTGAGTGCTCTCCTCTCGCCGTCCACGGCCTCTCTTCCCCTGCCTCTAGCTAGTACCCTTTACCTCGCAACCTACGCCGTCGCCGCGTGACTCCCCGTCAGCCTGCCCTGCCCACTGACTCTCATGTCGCTCGACAGCAACGGTCACGGCGCCGGCAACGTCAGCAGCAGCAGCAACAACTCCCACGCGAGCCACCCTGCCTCCGACGTCTCGTCGCCTCCTGCCGTCACCCCCGAGATCAAACCCACGCTCCACGACCATGACAAGAACGTCGCGTCGCCCCTGCTGGAGGCTCTGTCGACAACTTCGGTATCTGCGAGCACCGCCCCGAGCATGGCCAACGAATGGGCCCGCGGGGCCATCATGGCTGGTTCCCCCGGCAATCTCATCAACCTGAACAGTGAATCGCCGCCCACGCAGCCTTCATCCTACGAGGACTCGGGACGCCTGCACCACGCCTGGCCCGCCGCCCACCGGCCCTTCATGAGTCCCTCCCCGGCGTCGCCCTCGCCTCCCCATAGCAACCGCCGGCCCCTGAGCTTCCAAATGGACGCGCAGTACCACGTCCCCGGCACCTCGCCCCGTGGTGTGTCGACTGTTCCGTACCGCAGGAGCTCCCTGCACTCTCCCTATCCAAACTCCCGGGCCAGCCCGCACCCACCCCTCCCGCATCAGCCTCAACCGCATTTCTACGGCGCGCACGACCTCGACCTGACCATCACACCCCAGTCCGGCGGCATGAAGCCCGGCGACCACGGCTTCTTCTTCGGCTTCGATCGCCTGCCATCCCCCGACAGCTCCACTGCCTCGGAGCAGGTCGTCCTGGCAGGCTACGAGGGCGGCCTGCAAGTTTATGCCGTCGGTAAGAGGGGTATAGATCTGGTGGCAAACCTGAAGGGTCTTCGGGGTGGCGTCCACCATGCCAAGATTCTTCCGTGGACGATTGGCGGCGACGCTCACCTGTTTCCCCTGGTTGCGGTCGTCGTGCATGGGCCCGTGCTACCACCAAGAGCTGCGAATGGAGCGCCCAAGGAGGACGCTGCATCTCGTGTGACGCCAGACGATGGCACGAGCCCGAGGCCTGGGTTTGCCCCCTTGGAGGGTGTCCAGGGCCGGCCAGGCTCGGCACTCATGTCGTACCAGACGGCAGTCGAGGTGTACTCCCTCAAGACAAACAAGCTGGTCGACGTCCTACTGCAGGCGCAGAAGGTGCCAATCAACACCGAGGTATCCCTTTCCAGCCCGCTCTTCCAACCACCGCCGCCGACCGGTGCTCTCACGATCAAGGCCGATTCCGGAACCATTGCAGTCTGCTCGGGCACGACGGGAGAGTGCTGGGTTTATCGCCAGCTGCTCGAGCCCCAAAACTCCCACTTCTTCGCCTGCTCTGGCAAGATATGGACGACGATTCAGCAGGGCAGAGCTAGCGAAGTTCCCGAGGAGAGCGACAAGACCTACCCGTCGGTTGCACCGCACCGACCGAGCCCGCAGACCCCAATCTTGGCCCTCAACGGCCACTGGATTGCATACTGCCCGGCAGCGCCCTCGTCGCAGATCTCCCTGCGAGCACACATTCCGGTACCCATTCTGGGACGAGCTCCGGGGGTGTCCTCTATGACACCACCTCACCTTCCCGCTGTCACTTCTTCCGTGGATCTGCCAATCTCGGATAGCATGGTGAACAAGATTATGCGGGAGACGACCCAGGAACTGATTCAAGGTGCCAAGTGGGTTGGCCAGCAGGGTCTACAGGCCTGGAATTCGTATTGGAACAAGCCATCGAGCCCGCAGTCGCAGCCGCAGCAGGCGAGGTCTCCGCCACAGCAGTGGGCAGGCTCCCGCTCTCCCCAGACGGACGCAGCTCAGTTTCCGCCAACGCACGGGACGTCTTCGCCAGCTACCGCCAAAGAGCCTGGCATTGTTGCGATATTGGATACGGAGACACTCGCCAGCTCAAATACCATTCACCCCTTGACCACGTTTGCAACCCCGCTAGGATGCAGCTTCTTGTCGTTTTCGCCATCTTCGCTGGCTCTCTTCACGGCCAGCACGAAGGGTGACGTTCAGACAGTTTGGGATTTGCTTCGCATTCAGCACACGCATTCATCGCCACTGCAGACGACCTTGGCTCAGAATGACAGCAGCGGTCCTCTGGTGCGCCAAGTGGCGCAGTTCTCGCGCATGACTGTCGCGCGCATCGTCGACGTCGTCTGGACCGCCCCTCAAGGAGAGAGACTGGCCATGGTCACTGAGAGGGGCACCATCCACCTGCTGGATATGCCCTTCAGCTCCTTCATGTGGCCGCCGCCTCGTCGGCGCAAGGTGGCCGCTAAGAGCGCGACAGAGCAGACGGAGGTGTCTGGTTCCGCCGTTTCAATGGCATCGGGTGCTTTTGGGGCCGCCTACCAGGCTGCGATGCCGTTCGTGACGCGCTCACGTCGGAGCAGTGGTAACGTCCCTGCGACGCCGGCCAATACCTTGAGGGACTCGGCGGCCCAGGGTGGCAGGGCCATCGCAGCGACCATCAGCCATTCTCTCGGCAAGACGGGAACTGCCATCAGCCAACTGCGACACACGGGCGAGAACCGAGTCGCACTGCCGACGAGCGCCGTCCTGCCTTCTGGCGCGTGCGTCGCGTGGCTCAGAGGTCGCAGGTCTCAAGTCCTCGTGTCTGTCGGTGGCGGTTTGGTACGCCTGTTCCCGTGCAAGGCGCGCCGGTCTTCGACCGTGGCAGGGAATCGCATCGCCCGTGCGAACAAGTACAAGGACTTCAAAGTACCCCTGCTTCCCGACGACGTGGTGGCTCCGATTGTGAGGCAGATCCTCGAGTTGGGCGCCGTGGACGAGTATCTTGAACTATCCGACGCCGAGATGGAAGCGGGCAACACAATGACATTGAAGGGCCATGCGCAGGCGAGCCCTCCAGTTCACGGAATGGATGTCACGATTCCACAGGCAGAGATCGAGTCGAGCGCGCCCTACCAGCCTTTCCACACAGACCGCCGCGTTGCGCTCTGTGAGTACGTCCGCGAGGGTGGTGCTCAGCTGGAGTCCGCCTCTGTTCTTCTTGCCAACACCAACCAGGACGAACAGTCCAACACCAAAAAGAAAAAGAAACGCCAGCCCGCAACAGAGTCGCATTCCAGCGAGTCGTCGGCAACAGGGGCATGGGCGTTCGGGCAGGACATGCCGACTGTGAGGAAGGACCTGGGCCTCCAGGCAGGAACCGACGATGACATCAGTTCCGATGATCATCTTGCCCTGCCCCCGTCTGCCATGGAACGGGTCATGCAGTACGGTGATGAGGAACACATAGTGGTGACGACTAGAAGACGCCGCGGTCCGCGCTCGGGAGAGGGGGACGAGGACGGCTTCTTTGAGGACGACTGTGAGGTGCTGGACTTTGCTGACCAGAGAGTCTAAGCTCCGGAGCTGGCAATGAAGGGCTCGAGGAGACCGCGCCGGTGCCGGACGTGCATGGGATGAGCTTTGGCTGGATGGTGCGGGTCTGGAGTGGCAGCGGCTGCCCTTGCTGGCCACGGCGCAAGCAAGGCGGCTCGGTGGCTCAAGTAGGGATTGCCTGTTAGGTGACTGCTCTTTGGGTTCTGCGTCTCCCCCCTCATCGTGGACTTCATTTGCTCTGTTGCATGCATGGGCTTCATTGTTACACTCGTTCTTGTCTGGGTAGCTTTGTTTGGTACAATCACACTCAACAGTGTCTCCCCAATAGGTAGAAACATATATGATACCCGTACCTATTCGCTTCCGCCAGTGATTATAACGGGCCGCCTTGGCAACAGGCGCGCTCCGCCAGCGAGCCGAGAACTCAGTGTAAAGAGGGCTTCTCGCGCATCTTACTGCGTCTCTCTCAAGTTGTATTATATGATCGTGGCGTGTGGACCATTTACGCCTTCTTCTTCCCAGCAGCCTTGGCCTTGGCCGCCTTCTTGCGGTTGCTTCGAATCATGACCATGCCGAGGAACGAGCCGACGACGGCTGAGCCTAGCAGGATAAGGATAACGGGGATGCGGATGGCCCAGACGCGCGGGAGGAAGAAGTTCTGGAGCGGGTGGTCATCGTCGACAAAGGGCTGGTTCCGGGGTTAGCGCGGCGCGGGGACGTGGACGGAGCGCAGTTGAGGGAGGCGTACCATGAGAAGCGTCCAGATGGTGTAGTAGAGGAATACGACGGTGGCAGCCACGAGCATGGCGAGGCCAACGAGTTTGTCAAGCTGCGGCGTCGCGTTAGCGGGCATCGATCGCGGAGGCAAAGCAAGGACACGACATCTCCGAGGTGTCGTCGAACGGGCTGGCGCGTACCATTGTTGAGGTGCAAGTGGGCGAAACGACTGGACTGAATGGAAGGCGGAGCGTAAAAGGAGCGTGGGCGAAGATGCGAGCGGTGGCGCCTTGTTGGGTGAATCGAGCTCGAGTCGTCGACGAAAGGTGGTGCCGGCTAACACCACGCTGGCCGCAAGTTTGTCGGACGGGGACGCGATTTCAGGAGAGCGGCGGGTGGAGCTCCACCACCCACCACAGGGAGGCCAGCCAGGCGCGCTCGCGTGTGGCGGTGCGGGGACTGACGCAGGCAAGCAGCTGGTGCAAGTGTGGCGCACCAGCCTTGCTGGTCCGTGCACCCATTTTTTCCCAGCGCCCATGCCAAGCCAGGCCAGGCCAAACTGCCAGACTCGCCTCGTCTGCCTGGCACCTTTCCTTCCACCATCCATCACCGTCCGCGACGAACGACACGCGCACCGCCCCCCGCTCCCTCTCGACGAGCGACCATGGCGTCGGCCCAAGTCGACATCCCGCGTCGCGAGCGCGGCGGTCATCGCGATGGCGGCGACTCGTACCGCCCCGAGCGGCCTGAGCGCCCCGCGCCGCCGGTGCGCACCGAGGAGGAGAAGCAGGCGACGGCAAAGGCAGAGTACGAGAAGCTGCTCAACATGCGCTCCGGCGGCACCTACATCCCTCCCGCGCGTCTGAGGGCCCTCCAGGCGCAGATCACGGACAAGACGAGCAAGGAGTACCAGCGCATGGCGTGGGAGGCGCTCAAGAAGAGCATCAACGGCCTCATCAACAAGGTCAACACGGCCAACATCAAGCACATCGTCCCCGAGCTGTTTGGTGAGAACCTCATCCGGGGGCGCGGCCTCTTCTGCCGCTCCATCATGAAGGCGCAGGCCGCGAGTCTGCCCTTCACGCCCATCTACGCCGCCATGGCCGCCGTCGTCAACACGAAGCTGCCCCAGGTCGGGGAGCTGCTGATCAAGCGCCTGATTATGCAGTTCCGCAAGGGCTTCAAGCGAAACGACAAGGCCGTCTGCCTGTCGTCGACGACGTTCCTCGCGCACCTCATCAACCAGCAGGTGCAGCACGAGATGCTGGCCGGCCAGATCCTGCTCCTGCTGCTGCACAAGCCGACCGACGACAGCGTCGAGATTGCCGTCGGCTTCTGCCGCGAAGTCGGCCAATACGTCGAGGAGATGCAACCCACGATCGCGATGGCGGTGTTCGATCAGTTCAGAAACATTCTGCACGAGGCCGACATCGACAAGCGGACGCAGTACATGATCGAGGTTCTGTTCCAGGTGCGCAAGGACAAGTTCAAGGACCACCCGGCGGTCAAGGAAGAGCTGGACCTGGTCGAAGAGGAGGACCAGATTACCCACCAGGTCAACCTAGAGGGCGAGCTTGATGTGCAGGACGGGCTCAACATCTTCAAGTATGACCCTGAGTGGGAGGACCACGAAGAGGCGTATCGCAAGCTCAAGGCCGAGATCCTGGGTGAGGAGAGCGGAGACGAAGATGAGGACGACGACGACGAAGACGAAAGCAGCGACGAAGAAGACGAGGAGACCAAGGCCATGGAAATCAAGGACCAGTCCAACGCCGACTTGGTCAACCTTCGACGGACCATTTACCTCACCATCATGTCAAGCGCCGACCCCGAAGAAGCAGTGCACAAGCTGATGAAGATCAACCTTCCCGCCGGCCAGGAGCCAGAGCTGCCTTCGATGATTGTCGAGTGTTGCTCACAGGAAAAGACGTACACCAAGTTCTTCGGCCTCATCGGCGAGCGTTTCGCCAAGATCAACCGGCTATGGTGTGACCTGTTCGAGCAAGCCTTCGTCAAGTACTACGAGACGATCCATCGCTACGAGAACAACAAGCTGCGCAACATTGCGCAGTTGTTTGGCCACATGTTCGGGGTGGATGCCATCGGCTGGCACTGTCTGTCCGTTATTCACCTCAACGAGGACGAGACGACGTCGAGCAGCCGAATCTTCATCAAGATTCTGTTCCAAGCCATTACCGAGGAACTTGGCCTCCCAAAGCTGAAGGAGCGGATGACCGACGAGGTGCTCCGCCCCAACCTGGAGGGCCTCTTCCCCAAGGACAACCCGCGCAACATCCGCTTCTCCATCAACTACTTTACGAGTATCGGTATGGGTGCTCTCACCGAGGAGATGAGAGACTACCTGCAGAACATGCCGAAGCCCGCCCTCCCAGCGCCCGCGGCACGCGACGAGTCGGACTCGGACTCGGTGTCGAGCTATTCTTCATACACTGGCTCGTCCTACTCCCGCACGCCATCTCGATCCCCTCGAAGGGATACCGCACGAGGGCGATCAACATCCCGAACACCCTCACGACGCGGCAGGGCGCGATCGCTGTCGGACAGCCGCTCACGTTCGCGGTCGCGGTCGTACAGCTCGTACTCGCGGTCGCCGTCCCGCTCCGTGTCCCCGGCGAGAAGGGCCGGCGGCCGTGGGTCATACTCAGCATCGCCGGCGCGGAGGCCGAGGCGCGACGACAGCAGAAGCCTGTCGCGATCACGATCCCCCGCACCGCGAGGCGGACACGGCAAGGCTCGACGCGCATCTTACAGCTCATACAGCCGCTCGCCGTCTCCACCACGGCGACCAAGGAGCGTCTCGCGATCGGCCAGCCCTCCTCGACGCGGACGGCCAAGCGGAGACGACCGGCCGTCCCACAGACGGAATAGCTCCTCGGTGAGCAGCGCCCCGCGAAAGAGGGCGCGGCGGGACACCAGATCCCCGTCGTACGATTCGAGATCCCCGCCACCGCGTCGGGCCAGACGAGACAGTTATTCGCCTCCGCCGCGGAACGGGCGGGGAGGTTCGCGCAGTCCGTCGAGGAGCCCGACGCCTCCCCGGCGGCGCCCGAGGGATCGGTCAGATTCGCGAGACGCTCCGGCGCGGAAGCCCTCGTTGACGCCAAGCCCGGTGCCGGCGAAGCGGAGGAGGCAGTATAGCGAAAGCAGGTCAAGGTCGCCGCCTCCGATGAAGAGGGGCAGGCGAGACAGCTGATGAAGATTGCCATAGCTTGGAGTCTGGGCTGGATGGATGCCATGTATTACATTGCTGTATACGTTATCAACCGGGGCAGACAAAATTGTCCGACGCACCGGTGTTCGTTAGGGGTCACTATCTTAGGTGCAGGCGCGGTCATATGCATAGTTGATAGGGTTGAGAAAGGAATTAAGCGATTGCGATCTGCATCAGTCGTCTAGTCTATATCACGATATCTCCATGGACGCGGCCGGGGCGTCGACGTAGGTCCACCTCAGCTTGTCAGCCTTCACATTGCCTTGCACCTTGATGACTTGCTTCTCGCCGGGCATGATGTCGAAGCCGTTGTCGCTCACCCGCAGGCCCTCGGCCTCCTCGAAGACGAAGGACTTGACGGGCCGCTCGGCGGTGACGACGACCTCGTCGCCGGCGGAGCTGACCTGGAAGGCGACGCCGCGGTCGGCCATGTCGAGGAACTTGATGGGGTCGGGCCAGGCGGCGTCGGTGGCGACGACACGGCCGTCCACGGACAGGGTGGCGTGCACGACGTAAGGGTCGTACGCGTCCACGTCGAAGCGCCGGTTCGGGTCGTCCGCTCCCGGGGCCGACGCCGGCAGCGGCACGGCGACGTGCACGTCCGTCGTGGCGTTGGGCGCGGCCTCGGCGTCGACCTCGAGCGGCGGGGCGACGTCCCTGCCGGAGCGGACGGAGACGAAGCGCACGGCGACGCGCACGGCAACGGGCTGGACGCTGGCGCTGGCGACCCAGACGTCCAAGGTGGAGGTGCCCGGGCGGGCGGGCAGCGTCTGGTCGACCTGGCCCGTGCACAGCTTGGAGTTCTCGTCGATGTAGTAGCCCGTCTGCGTCCAGTCGTGGTAGGTGCGCGAGACGCCCACGTCGAGGGGCTGCAGGGCGCGGCGGATGGCGTGCCAGGCGGGCTTGGGGACGAGGTGGTAGTCGACGACGGCCCACGACATGGTGGGCCAGCAGTCGTTGAGCTGCCAGACGAGGACGCCGCCGCACTTGCGGCCCTCGATGGCGCTGCTGCTGCTGCTACCCTCGCTTCTGCTGCTGCCGTCCTTGGAGGAGGAGGCAGTGCCAGTGCCCCAGTCGCGGCGCCAGGCCTTGTACGCGGCGCGCATCGTCTCGGCCTGCGCGACCTGCGTGAGGTGGACGTAGCGGGCGAGGTCCGAGACGTCTCCCGGGCGGAAGTTCTCGACCACGTACGTCATCATGCGGCGCTCGTGGCCGATGCCCTTGTTGTGGAAGTCGAGCACCATGGAGCCCGGGCGCAGCTGCGCGGGGGACGAGGCCATGCGCGCGACCGTCTCGAGGTGCGGGTAGGCCTCCATGCCGAACTCGCTGACGAAGCGGCCGCCGAGGAGGGAGGCCTCTTGGTACTTGCTGATGGTGCCGTGCCAGACTGGAAGCGAGCGAACGGTTAGCTTTTGGATGTGGTGTTGTTCGTTTGACATGTGCATTTTCGGTTCAGGGGTAAGTGCTCAGGGGTAGGCTCTCAGGGGCAGGTGGTCAGGGTTAGAGGTTCATTGATCGGGATTCAGCGGTATATGCTCGGGAGTAGATACTCAAAGAGAGAGTCCTCAGAAAGGAGATGGTAAGCACTCACGATTCCACTGGTGAATGTCGCCGACGGTCGGGTCCGCCGTCGGCTTCCCGTCGCCCCAGGGGCTGCTCGGGTGGTAAATCATGTGCGGGTCCTCCTCGGCCACCACCTTGGGCAGCAGGTGCTCGTAGATGTAGCGCGCGGGAAAGGTCGACTTGAGCCAGGCCTCGGGGTCCTTGTTCTCAAAGTCGTAGTCGAGCCGGTACCGCTCCTGGACCTGGTAGTCCTCGTTGTTGCCGGCCCAGATGACCATGGAGGGGTGGCTGCGCAGGCGGCGGACGTGCTCGCGGGCCTCGAGCTCGACGCTGGCGAGGAAGGACGGGTAGGCCGGGTAGCTGGCGCAGGCGAACTGGAAGTCGTGCCAGAGCAGGACGCCGAGCTCGTCGCAGGCGTCGACGAGGGCGTCGTGCTCGTAGACGCCGCCGCCCCAGACGCGCAGCATCACCTGGTTGCCCTCGGCGGCCAGGCGCACCCAGTCGCGGTACCGCTGCGGCGTGATGGCCGACAGGTAGCTGTCGGCGGGGATCCAGCACGAGCCGCCCGCGAAGACGTCGACGTTGTTGATGCGGAAGTAGAAGGACTTGCCGTGCGCGTCGGGCTCCTGCACGAGCTGCGTGCGGCGGAACCCGATGAGCTTGGTCTGCGCGTCGAGCGCCCGGCCCTGGCGGACCAGCGTCGCCCGCAGCTGGTACCGCGCCTGGGCGCCGTAGTTGAGAGGATACCAGAGCTCGGGGTTGCTGAGCTTGAAAGGGACCGAGACGCGGCCGGTGTCGTCGGCGTCGACCGTCTCCTCGAGGACCACCTTGTCGTCCTTGGACAGCAAGACGACGACCTGGTCGCCCTTGCTGACGGCGCCCTCCAGTGTGGCGTAGATAGTGCCAGCGCATGATGCCAGGTCCTCAGCAACCTCATTCTCAGCCCAGACGTCGTCGACGCGCGCGACGTAGCGTTCGACCCAGACGGGCTTCCACGGCCCGGCCGTCATGAGGATGGGCCCCCAGTCCCAGCCCCAGTTGTACTGGGCCTTGCGGACGGGCACGCGGCCCGCCTCAGTCTGGCGGACGAGGAAGTTGTGCTCGTGGCTGTGCTTCTCCACGAGCTCGCGGCCGCGCAGCAGGGCCGAGTCGAAGACGATCTCGAGCACGTTCTGCGCGTCGCCACCCGTCTTAACATGCGGGGAGACGTCGACGCGGTACGAGACAAACATGTTGTCCGTCTTGAGGACCTCTGCGCCGTTGACCGAGACGGTGGCAAAGGTGTCGAGGCCCTCGAAGACGAGGTCCGTCGTTACTGCGCCGGCGCCATCACCCTCGGTCGCCAGCTCGGGTACGGAAAAAGCGGCGCGGTACACCCACGTCTTCTCGCCGACCCACTGCACGGCGCGCTCGTTGAGGTCGACGTAGGGGTCTGGGATCCTGGGGGTTGAGCGCGTCAGTATGAGCGCCTTTTGTATTTGGTGAGGCCCTAGGGAGAAAGGGGGGCAATGAGAGAGGGATGGAAATATACTTCTTGTTGGCCAGCAGGTCCATGTGAATCTGGCTGGGCACCTGCGACACGGGCAGCCACTCCTCGGACGGCCAGTCCTGCTGCTTAAAGGTCCAGCCGGAGCTGATTTGGGTCCTGGAGTGAGCCATGATGGCTGGTGTGTGTGTGTGTGTGGTGTTGCTTCTTCGCGACTTGAATGCTGCGGCACCAATCGCCGGAGCTTCTGGAATCTGGGTTGCTTCACCCTTATATCGCGACGTATGGGGATCTACTTCTCCTCGACAGGTTGAGCACTTTGCAAGTATGACATGAACAAGAGTGAACAAGGACTGAGCTGGGCAGACCTTCAAGTATGTAGAGCAGCAGACGACAGACAAGACACGCGGTGGGCAAACTATACCCGTGCCCGTACCTTGCGCAACCCCCACGCCCCGGCCGGGATCCGGAGCGGTAGCGGGGCGGAAGGGCTCGGTCAACAGCTCGACGGCAATTCCCCCCACGAGCGGCGTAGGCGAGCGTCCCCCCACATTGCGGGGTGTCGTCTTCGTCTGACGACGGGGTTTTGTCTTGCCGGCGGCAGAACGGCTTCCATACGTTCCGTATCTTCAACAAATACCATGCAATGCCCCGTCCTTGGTGAAGTCGGGAATTGCTGCATGGACCGTCGCCGGCATCTTGCCAAGGTCAAAGTATAATATATAAAAAGTGCTTCAAACCTGTGTACTTAGGGCATCCCAGTTTCCAACAGACACCAGGCATCAGTCTCTCAAGCTCTCAGCCGTCGTTTGGCCGAACCCCACGACTTCATCCACTCCTCCAGCAACCCCGTCACCCCATCAAAGTGGAACCCCCCCTCCCCCCAAATCATCAGTCCTTGTAGCGGATCTTGAATGCCTGAGACTCGGCCACGTCCCAGTCCTCCAGCTTCGTCTCGTCGCCGTAGAGGTGCAGCTCGTACACGACAAACTTGTACTTACCAGGCGGCGCGTAGTCTCCGCTCGCGAGACCGCCGTCGAAGGGTATCAGATGCCCCTGGCGCCCGACCCACCGCATGGGCATCCCGTAAGGCTGGCCGATCGTCTTGAATTTGCCGCTGCCCAGCGGGTCGTCTACCGTGAGGTTTTTCGGGGGACACGTCGTCAGCGGAACCAGGTATGCCCGGATCTGCGGGCTTCCCAGGGCGTTGTTCACGGCTACGCCGAACACGTCGTCGCCGAGCTTCCACTGGCCGGGTGGCGGCAGGGTGACCGTGCTGTTGGGCTCCAGGACCACCGGTACCCATCGGTTGCTCTTGCTCTTGAGGGCGACGAAAACAGTCCCGTTGGGGCCCAAGACGGTCGCGTTGCGCAGCGAGCCCGTCATGCCCTGGTACGGCAAGGACAGCGACGTGCCGTCCGTGCCGTTGATGGCAATGTAGCCGGACCAAAGCGCGAGGCGCCTTGCGTCAACGTCCTTTGGCGGTTGCGCCGTGACGGAGACCTCCTTGCGGTGACCGGGCTTGAGCGTGATTTTTGTGTCTGAAAACTCCAGCGTGGCGTGGCTGTCAACGAACGCGTAAGGCGTAACCATCGGGGAGGGATCTACCGAGTACGTCTCCGAGAGGGTATACACGGTCCGGGTCGGGACGTGAGATACAGTATATATGATTTCGTGAGTGTCCCTATTGGATAGGAAAAAGCTAAGCCGCTCCTGAAAGTGGGTGGTGTCATTAAAGGAAAGGCTCGACGGCTCTAGAATGGTCGCTGCGTGTGCGGCATCGTGGGCTTGGACGAGGCCGGCCCCCTGACTGAACGCCGGAGCGAGCTGCCCCTCGACGAACCCGTGCCCGGCGTTGTACAGCTGCGGATTTGCCGTGGCGGACAGAAGCTTCATCATCAGCGCTGGGTCAAGAGTACCACGCGACTCGGCGATGAGGGCCATGATGCCCGCCATCAGCGGCGTCGCCATGGAGGTGCCAGAACGGATGGCATAAGTGTTGTTCAGCCACGTTGAGACGATCTCGTTGCCCGGCGTTCCGACCGTCGGGTTCATCTCCATCCTCCAGTCGGGGCCCCAAGTAGACTCCGCGGCAACACGGCCACCGGTGCTCGTCTTCTTAATCTTGAAGAGCACGTAGCCGGCTTTGCCCGGGGAAGCCATGTCTACGGTGACATTGTGCCCGGCCTTTAAAGCCGCCACCATTACCTCGCCTGCTTCGGGTAGCACCATGCCGGCGCCCGTGATGGCCGTGCCGACCGGAAAAGTGAGCATCGGGTAGATGGAGCGGCCGCCACCATAGACTAGCATGTACTTGGCGCCTTTGGCGATGACGTTCTGAGCCTTTGTAAAAGGCGGGCACCCGCCGTCACGCATGAGAACCACCATGTTGCTCAGGTCCGGCGTGTTGTCCGGCAAGGCATCGCAGGCATCTCTGGCGACGGACGTGTTCAGGCTCGTGGCATAGAGAGGCAGCTTGATGTCCCACGTGTTCTGTCCTGGGACCGAGGGGGGCTCGTACACGGGCAGGTAGCCAAACACCTGCGGCTCTCCACCGTCGACCGAATACCGCGATACGGAGAGGATGAGCGGGTCAAAGACGGGATCAAACGAGCCGACGGCTATGACGCCCCTGGCATCGGCCGGACTTACGGTGAAGAAGGGGCCCAGGAGGCCGTCGTTGCCGAGCGAGGCCACGCAGGGGACGCCGCGCTCGACGATGCGAGAGACGGCCACGCCTAGGGGTTCCTCGGCCCAGCCACTCCAGGTGCCTATTGATGCCGTGATGATGTCGGCGCCGTCCTCGTACGCCATGTGGAACGCCGCCATGATGACGTCGAGAGCCGTGTCGCTGTTGCATCCAAACACCTTGTATGCGCCGAGGGAGACTCCCGGAGCAGCGCCCGTGAAGCGCACGGGGTTTGGCCGCGCCGCGATGATGCCCGCCACATGCGTTCCATGACCCTCGCAGTCCCGCGGGTCGTCGTCGGGCGCGGGCTCATCCCCTGGCCCGGCGTATTCATCGCCCACGAGGTCGCGCCCAAACGAGACGAGGCAGCCCTTGCCGAAGCAGCCCCCCAGTGCGGGGTGCGTGTAGTCGATGCCCGTGTCGATGACGGCAATCTTGATGCCCTTGCCCGTGATGCCCTCTGCCTTGAGCTTGTCGACCTGCGTCATCCTGTGCGGCGACCATATGTCGTCCTGGTCGTCCGTATCGTTTACGAGAACGGGGCCGCCCGGGTTGCTCAAGACCTGCACGTCGCCGCCAGGGTGCTTGAATATCGAAATGGGCCAGACATTCTTGACTGCGGGCGCGGCGGCGCTGGCCATGGCCATTGCCCGAGTGTGTGCGTTCCGGACGTCGTGCAGCTGCACCGAGACGCCCTTGAAGAGCTTGAAGTCGAGGTGCATCCGCACCGTGCCGTGCGTCTCGATGCCGTCGTGCAAGGCCGAGACATCGTGGCCATCTTCGAGCTCGAAGAGGTAGGCACCCGGGACGTACTCTTGGATGAAAGGCTCTGGGGATCTTGGAGCAAAAGGGGTTGCCGTTGCAAAGAGTGCGGCAAAGACTGCTACTCGCAGCGCCATGGTCCACATGTTGTCGCGTCTTGTCAGATATTGAATGCCCAATGCTGATGAAATGTTGAACATGGATGAGTTTCTCTGGGAGCAGGTCCTGTTCCCCTTGTTTACTTATACTGGTCGCCCCTCGCTCAGGTCCACCTTCCATGATCCTCACCAGGAAACATGTCCTTGGGGAGGTTCGACTTCCATTAACCCAGCGCAGGCAGCATGCAGTCCCTACAAGCTTCCTCACACGGCGATGTCGCAGTCGATGTTGCCTGCCGCCACTTGCCCGACTGAGCAGGTGTCGTTGGTTGCTGCTTCTACATGCACACAGAACAAGGAGACGTCACTGACACCATCCCACACCGGCCACACTCGCTTGCGGGAAGACAGCGGATTCGAGCAGTCCTTGCGCCATTCCTTGTTCATACTGCATTGCTCGTGGTATGTATCAGCGAGCTGACATGGGATGGAGACAGAGATGGGGCTGCCTTGGGGCGCAAGTGTCACACATCCGCTAGCCATGTGCGCATTATCGGCTTACTAGCATCCACGCTGTTGCACTTGATTAATTTAGACGGAACTAAATTGCCGAGGAGCGCAGTTGCCAAGTTACTGCCAGTATCCACCTCCTAAGTACACCTGCGGCCCTTGCTTCCCTCACAGGCAGACTTGTACCGAAGCCCGTGACCAAACTTGAACAGCGGGTCGCGAGTGTCAAACGGCACGTCCTCCATCTGCTCCTCGGCAGCCGCATTCGACCGCACCATATCAAACGGCAGCTTGCCCTCGGGGGAGGCATCACCAAAGACCACGTCGAGGAACGCGTCATCACTAGACCCGAAGCTCGCCAGGACCGCCTGCGTCTGATCGACCACCTCAGGGATTGCGAACGGCCTGTCCGTGTAAATGTCCACGACGGTAGGGACCGCGGCGTAGATGGCAGCTTGACGCTTCTTTTCCTCATCAAAGTACTCCAGGCTGCCCCCGCGGTGACCAAACCTTCCCTCGATTGTGCCGTTCCTGGGGTCGAAGGGAGGGGCCAGCCGCAGGAGCGCAAAGTCTGCCTCGTCGGGGGTTTTGGCAAGCTTGTACCCTCGCTTCTCGAGCTTCGTGGCGTTGAAGCCCTCTGTGAAGATCTTGCAGCCTCGGTCGAGCTTGAGTGGAAGCACGTCGTTCTTGTTACTGAGGAGCGTGTACGCCCTCCTCTGCGTTTCCTCGCCCAGCTTGCGGAAGTAGGCGTTTCCCGCGATGCGCTCTGCCTCGTCGGGGTCAGCGTAGGGGTTCTCAAAGAGACCGAGGAGGAATTTCTCCTTTAGCAACTTCCGAACCGACTCATCAACTCTCTTCTCGTCAATACGGCCGGATTTGACCAATTCAACGACCAATTCAGGCCGATCCTCGCCGCCAAACTGGTCGCAGCCCGATTCGATGATTCGGAAGACGCGCTCCACCTCGCTCGCATCCCGTATGCCCCAAGCCCTAGCAGGCCAAGGGATATCTCCCATATTGGTGTCGGTGACGAGGCCCCAGTCAGTGACCACGATTCCGTCGAAGCCAAGTTCATCCTTGAGCAGGCCCGTCACAATCGCCTTGTTGAATGCGAACCCCACCGACTCATACTCGGTACCGATCGGGCGAGAATAGTACGGCATAATCTGCCTTGCCCCGGCCTTGAACGCCGCCTTGAAAGGAATCAGATGATATTCGAGATTGTTGCCGGGGTATGTCGCATTCTGGCCATGCTCAAAGTGGCTGTCCTCGCCATCCTGAACGGCGCCACCGCCCGGGAAATGTTTGGTGACCGTCGTCACGGAGCGGGGTCCAATTTCGTCTCCTTGGAGGCCCTTGATGTACGCAGATACCATCTCTCCCGTCAGAGAGGCATTCTCTCCCCAAGTATTGAAGATTCTAGCCCACCGGGGCTCCGTAGAGAGGTCGGCCTGGGGGTGCAGAGCCGACCTGATGCCCACAGAAGTATACTCTTCCCGAACAATGTTGGCGAAATTCTTGACCAGCTCGGCGTCACGCAGAGCCGCCAAACCCAGACTCTCGGGCCATTGAGAAAAGATGCCTGGGGCTAGGGCCGCACCGACAGTCATCCCAAAGTGGTGTCTTGGGTCGGTGGACAGGGTGATTGGGATTCCCAGACCATTCTCGACAGCCAGTTTCTGGACTTGATTGAACCACTCGGCGCCGAGACGCGCATCGTCCAGCGTGCCCAAGAGATTGAAGTGCGTCATGTGCTTGTCCACGACCATTTCCTTGGTACCATTCCAACGCCGTGGCGAGCTTTCTTCATAGGCGCCAGGGTCGACGGTGTAATTCTTTCCAATTCGCAGCATCTGCTGAAACATTTGACCAGCCTTTTCTTCAATAGTCATGCGAGAAAGGAGGTCTTCAACCCGGTCGTCAACGCAGGCAGAGGCATTGCGATATAGTGGGGCCTTGTCGCGGGCCACGAGAGGCGAGGGGTTTGCCAGAGCGGCAATCCCCAGGCCCAAGGAAGCAATGATGGGGTAGAGCATCGTAGACAAGAATCATGGAGCGTAAGGCGTTCTGAGAGGCAACCATCGTTGTTAGGTTTCCAACACTCTCCGGGTCTTCTCCTTTTCAGGCTGCCATGCCCTACTTATAGTTCCGTCACTGCCCTCGCCATCATCTCTCTTGCACCGGATTGCGGATTCACGCGACTGACGGTAGCCAGGCTTCATTGGCGCCATTCACCGCGGTTGAGAGAACTGCGGTGGTATGATTAAGCTTGTCGTGGGTACGATGCTTGGCACAAAGGCAAATTCGTCGGTGAGCTATCCGGTGCTACATCCTGGGCCCGATCGATGGGCTCGGGTCGAGGTAGCAATTGAGTCCGTCTACGTGGTGTTTACCCATGCTAAATAGCAGCAATTGTGCGAGATTGAGCAGCCCGCTTGTGGGCGTAAGACACCGAGAGACCATCCGAAGAGCCTCTCGAGATGTAGACCTTCTTGGCCAGCCTGGGAATGAGATGATGGTAGCCTCCGCAGTGGTGTTTGGGCGTTCCGGCAGTGAACACCCACGGGGTTTTGGGAAACTCCGCGATGCCTTCTCTGTCCGGGTCGTGCGACTATGATGCTATTTCGTCGGTTGGTCGCGATACCCCCGCGGGGGACTTGCTAGGCGATGTCCAACCCCACACGCCTAGTGCCTCCTCCTCGCGTGACGAGTTCTTGGCGTCGTGAATTCACGACTCGTCTCGAAAGCGCATCAGGAGATGCGAGCGACGTCACCGCAGGATGTATGACCACTGTGATCTCCGCTTCCTGCTGTCACCGTTGACGTGAAGAGGCAGCACGTCGCCATCGGGCCGATGCAAAGTCACTCTTGGCATTGTGAGCGCAGTCGGCTTGGGGGGGGGGCTTGATGAGAGCGGTGTCGCGGGACCGTGAGTAGATGCTGCTAGTACAATGTGTCATTGAAGCAGAGGGTGCGGCAGGTGCCGCTGGGTCGTGTTGTGCATCATCTGCTGCCGATCTCAGGGACAGGTCCCGCGTGGGCGCGACAGAGTCCTGACGCAGGCATCAAGATGCGGCACAACGATTGCAAGTGCATTGGCGAATGACTTGCCATGGCGAGGGAACCAGGAGCCGTCTTGCTGCCAGCGACGTGTTGAGGTTAGCGAGATGCGGCACGACAAGATACGGTCCGCGCACGGCAAGATGGATCAATTGATAAACCTGGGTGGTGGTTGGATGAAACGGGTAACAGGAACTGGTTGGATGACTTGGTAGGCGTTGCCGTTGCCGCAAGGTGCAGGTCAGACCGTCAGACCTTCCCCACGTGGAAGTGGAGGCGCTCACGCTCCTTCCCCACAGTGACCCCCATGTTCTGTCCTGGCAGTTGCGCTGCAGGAGCTGCCCGTGCAGGAGCGGCGCACGAGCCGTTGGGGCGCCCCTGCCACGTCTGCAACAGTGCAGAATGCGGATGGCAGGCGCGAATATGGGGGCAGAGACATTGGCCGGCCAGCTGTGTAAGTGCCTTTAAATCTTCATGGGCTTACCGTCCACGACGGTAGGGGGTTAGTTAGTACATGGCAGATACTCCGCGACCTACCCCAAGTACCTCCGAAGTCAGGTGCATGACTGAACTATGGGATCCCGGGGTGCGGAGTACTTGTAGCGGAGAAGTGCAGCCGAGGAAGCAGCACCCAGCCAGCCAGCCAGGCCAGGCCAGGCCGGCCAGGCTTGCCCAAGAGTCCAAAGTCAAAGAGTCCAGGGTCCTGCCGGCCCCCTATGCCCCCGTCTGTCCCCACCCCTTTCCCTTTCCAGCAATTGCAAGTCGCCAGACGCATGGCTCCATCCTCAGCCCAGCTTCAGCTCCACTCCGAACCTCCCAGTTCCTCAACCCTCGAGCATCCCTTGCCTCGACGAGGATCGCGTTGCGCGCCTCATCATCCCCCCGCCACGCCACCGCTTCATGCCTCATCCAGCAGAGCATGCCTTCCTCAGGGCACGAGCGAACCGAGCTGCCTCAAGCGGCTGACAAGGTCCCCTCCAGTTCGGCGCGGAGGGTGAACCGCTCATGCGTCGAATGCACCCGCCGCAAGGTCAAGTGCGACGGCCGCCAGCCGTGCGGGAGCTGCTTGTACTACAGAGTCCCCGACGCCTGCGAGTACCGCCAGCGCTCGCGCAGAAACGCCGTCAGCAGAAGGTGCGTGGTGCGGCACGCGTCCCCAGACCAGAGACTGCCGACGGCCTCGGGCCAGCTAACCAGGACGCCCCTCAAGCACGTTTGACAAGGCCTCGGAGCAGCTGCGCTCTCAGTCGCGCGTCCTCGCGACCCTCTTTCCAGGTGTTGATGTAGAGAAACTCGCGACCAAGAGCCAGGATGAGCTCCTGGGCTTGCTCCGCCTTGGCGAGATGCGCCACAGCCAGCACCAGGAGCCCGACTCTTCACTGCCCGAGCCTACGCCCCTCCAAGATGAAATCATTGGCCTTCCAAACAGCTCAGGCGCCGAGGACTCAGCGCCGATATCTGAAAACGGGGAGCCCGCCGAGGAGAGGAAGTGGGATGAATCACTCGACCAGCCTGCCACGGTTGCCAGCGACGACGTCAACGCCCTTGGCCTTGCCACTGATGAGCATGCGCGCTCCTATCTCGGTGTCACCTCCATGAGCGCCGTTCTCAGAGCCATATTTCGTCTCTGCCCCGCCGCAAAGGAACACACGGCGCAATGCGCGCGGGCACTCGTTGCCAACCCTGCGCCGGCTCCGCCCGCCCAGCCCGTCCTGGGCCGTGACCCGGCGCTCAGCATACTGAGAGAGCAACGATGTATCGACTTCTACTTTGAATATATCCACCCAATCACGCCCCTTCTGGATGAGCAAGACTTCCGTACTCAGCATGCCTCGGGTGCGCGCCAGGACGGCTCCTGGATGGGTCTCCTTAACATGGTCTGCGCTCTGGGTTCTATCGCGTCCGGCAGCGAGGGTCTCCATGAACAGTACTATCGCCAGGCCCGATCCTTCACGGGACTCGACAGCCTGGGGTCTGGAAACATGGACAGTCTGCAGGGTCTCTGCCTCCTGGGAGGCTACTATCTGCATTATCGCAACTCGCCAAACATGGCCTACAGCATCCTCGGTGCGGCGCATCGAGTCGCTATTGCGCTGGGCCTGCACCGAGAGCCGAGGCGGGCACCAAGCATGGCGACTCTGGAAGAGGCCGAGGAGCACCGGCGCCGTGCTGAGACGCGACGAAGAACATGGTGGAGTTTGTATTGTCTGGACACATGGGCGTGCATGACCCAAGGGCGCCCGACCTGCGGCCGTCTGGACAGAAGCACCATGGACACCTGCCTGCCTTCAAGCCTCGGTCCCGACGACCATGCCGCCATATTGCTCCAGGCGAACACCCGGCTCTGCCTGATATGCGAACGCCTTCAGCAGAGGTTTGCCCAGTTTGGTCGGCCGTCAAACCAGGAGATTCTCGGTCTCGATGCCCAGCTCCACGACTGGTTCGACGATCTCCCCGAGAACTTGAAGCATGCAGAGGGCTCGCCGCCACAGTATCAGTTTGCAAGGGAGCTGATGAAGACGAGATACTACAACGCCCGGATTGTTCTCGCTAGGTCTCTGATTCTCTATCTTGCGCACGACTGCAAGAAGAAGCTCGGAGAGCTTATGCCAGAGCAAAGACACATGCTCAACATGTGCTGCCAGGTGGCGACAGAGGCCATTGACTCGACTGCCCGCTACTGGATGCCAAACCGGATCCAAGTGTGGAACATGGGCTGGTATCTTTTCCAGGCCTGCTCGGTGCCACTGCTTTGCATTGCCATCGAGAAGAATATGCAGCAGCCTTCCCTGCCGCCAAACGAGAACGTCGCTGCCTGGCAGTCGAGCCTCGCCAAGGCTCTGGAAACGTTCACGGAGATGCGACCGTGGATGCGTGCGTCTGATCGCTCGCCGGATATCGTCTCAGCGATTTATGAGGCCGTCATTGCCACGGAAGCGGACGGCACTCTGCGCACGCCTTCGGCGACAGATGGGAGCATTGACATGTTTGGCTGGTGCGACGAGCAGCTCACCGACATGGACTGGGGCGTCTTCCTCGGAGACGAGAGCCTCACCCGTGGCATGTTCCCGATGTGATGGGCACATGCTACGTACGTGGGACAAATTACTGCGGAGAACGAGGCGCAAGGGGCGAGCCCAGTTCCTGGAAGCTATCTCGGATGGGGTTACACAGCTGCCTGAGCCCCAGCTGCTGGGGTCCCAGCTGCAAGTGAGACCGGCAAATCGTCGTTGTCTCTTGACTCCTCAAGCGTCAGTCCTTGTTTTCCGCAGGCAGTGTTTCAAAGATACCATCAAATTGCCTTGTGGTTCAGGTAGACTCAATATGCCGTCGTCACGGCACACTGCAGCTTGGACCGCACCTGACTGGCTGTAACGGAGTGATTCGGCCAGATCCTTGGAGCTTGTTCCTCTCTTGCATATCTGAGTGATACAAGTCAGCACCTAACGGGAGTGCGCGCCGGCAGTGAGTGACCTTTGCTCGGCGAGTAAGGCTCCCGCCAAATAAACACTGTCTGCTCTTGGAAGCCGTCGCTGCCGTGGTATCCCCAGGGAGGACCCCGCCGCCGGCGTTGATGAAGGGATCAGACTGAATACCCCGCCAGGCCTGGTTGGGGCTTACGTCTTGAGAACGACGGAGTTGGCTAGTGTGGAAATTGTCGCTGGTATGTTGGCTGCAAGCCTGTGCGATGTTGGCATTATGACTGACGGTTTCTTCGAAAAGGCCTCTGTTGCTACAACACGAACGAGTCTATGGCGAGCGAGCTAGACGGGAGCCAAGGAAAAGTCGACTTGGATAATAAGAGTCAAAAAGGACGATTCGCACTCTTGTCGCATTAACGTCTCCTCGATCAAACGTCTGCAGCGGAGTCTAATTCCGACCTGCCTGCATGGCGGGCACGGCGACCATGAGAGGCACCAGAGGCACCAGAAGCACCAGTCGGGAGACAGTAACCCAAGCAATTATAACACATGGGTGTCTGTTGAACCCAGCCCCCATGCCAGTCCTAGGATACCTTGAAAGGGCTGTTTTTCTTCTTTTTCTATTGCGACTGATGTACAGCAAGACTCTTCTGGACTTGACTCCAGAAACCGAGCTGACCCTGTTGGTATATCCAACTCAAGCATGGTGGTAATCATGACACGGCTGTTCGTGGTCTCGTCTTCACATGAGAACTGTCATAGTACATCGCACTTCCATGACATTGCCTCCGTCACGCGCATAACAGTGATCCACCTGACGCCCCTCGTTCTATTATCATGTTGCCCGTCTCAGTACTGCCTCCCCCTGGACCTCGACACCCTGTCTCTGCCGCGCGACACGTACACGGGCTGCGTCCTGGACGTCTCGCGGACGACGACGGGCGGGGGCGTGGACATGGTGGAGGAGAGGGACGACCGGCGGCGGCTGTGGTGACGGTGGTGGTGGCCGCCGCCGTGGCGCGGGCGGCTGTGGGTGTAGCTGTGGTGGTGGTGATGGCGGTGCGGCGAGCGCTTGGGGTCGACGTCGTGGTACCACGCCTCGCGGTCCTCGCCCGGCGGGGCGCCGATGTTGAAGCACGAGCGGTAGATCCACACGAGGAGCAGGAAGCCCGCGATGGAGCCGATGACGATGCCCGCGATGGCGCCGCCGCTCAGCGTCGTGGCGGAGCTGCCCCCGCTGTCGCCGCTGTCGCCGCTGCCGGAGACGACAGTGACGGTTGCCGTGGGGGCTGATTGCCGCGCGCGGAGCAGTTGGTAGTGGTTATCGTCGGCGTCGGACGCGGCGGAGGGCGGCGTAGTGGGCGTCGGCGTGGCGGAGAGTAGTGCGTCCAGCTCGGGGAGGATGTCGCCGGCGCCGGCGCCCGGGGGTGGTATGACGGGGGCCATTGGGCGTGAGGGCACCGCCCGGGGCGTTGTGTAAGTTGGCTGGGTATTAAGGGCGCGCAAAGCTGTGGCTTTGCCGCGATAAAGGGCGAGAGAAGAGAGAAAAAGAGAGCAAGACTTCTGAAATCTATGTCGTTCGGTGAAGGGGGGCACGGAAGCGAGCATATACACTGTCGCAATGCCTGTGTCGACCACCGTTCCGATCATCGTCGACGAGGACTCGACAAAATCAACATCATCGACGTTACGTCAACGGGGCATCACAACCCCATCATGGGCCCCTCTGGCGCATGCACGGCGACATCATCACGGATACAAGCAACAGGCATCCAGGGAACAAGCATTTGCAGGGATGTCTGCAAGTAACAGCGATCATGCATGCAATTGACCAACCTCTCTGCCCCAACAACACGTACGTCCCATTCTGGTCTGCCCACTGGCAGCGAGTCATACCTTTGCATCGGTAGTGGGAAAGGTTCTTGGGGGGATGAATTGCGCATCGCGAAGGGGGGCCTTTGCCGGAGGAGGGCTTCCCGATTGAGGAGGGCTTTCAGCTAGTTCGGACAGGGATCGGGGAGTAAGTGGTACGTACGTAGCTTGAAAGCGAGCGAGGAACAAATACTCCGGCGCGGTGGGATGCATGCGGGCACATGGGCGCGCGCCGCAGACCATGATGGCGTAATCTAGTTTTTAGACGGCGTTTTATCTCAGCTGCGGGATCTATCGATCTGTCGATTCGATGGAGGGGCACACACACGAACTATTACCGTCCCTGCCTTGCCTGCCGTTTTGGCAACGCGCATTTCTATCTCCGTGCGTGCCGGACCAAGTCCGCTCCACCCGTAAACGAGAGTCTTATCCAACTCTCCGGATACGGCTTCAGAATTAAAAAGTCCATGGATAATCCCGGCTCGTGACGGTCGATCTATCAATCAGCGACTCCCACCAGCCCCCTGCCTTTCCCATTGCTCGCCAGTTTGCTTGCTTGCCAGCACAGCGGGCCCCCCCCTGGTGCCTGGAACTCAAACACGTGCTAATACTACGTATTTATCATGTGGCCCGGGATTCAGGTCAAGGTTTATTACAAAGCTCAACGCCTCCAGGGCCCGCGGCGCAACGGTGCAAAGGCCGAGGTTCGTCAAGGTTTTTCCTCCCCTCTCACTGACGGTACGAAAACTTGGCCCGGTGCGGAGAAGGAAGAGGGGGAGGAGGGGGAAGAAGGCAGGGATTGCTGCTTCTGTGTGGGTTTATGCGCGTCGTTCAATGCTGCTCGTCTTCTGTTCCACGGGGTCATCGTGACGCAATGGATTTCCTGCCACACGGGATTTCAGCCGCAATTGCTCCTCAATTCGGAGACCTCGAGGCGAGGGCGAAGCTTGCCAGTTCCCTGCCCGAGACTTTCATCGCGGAAAAGGAGCAATTGGGGTAACCAGGGAAGATGCACTTTTAACGTGTCTTGCGGTACGAAGTACAGTATGCTCAACGCCTTCGTGCAAAGATAGCATGCAAGTTTGGATGGCTCTTCTGGTGACAAGACATCCGATATACCAATATACACTCTCGCAGTGACTGCTCGTGATGCTGCTGCTCTATCGTCTAAACCCAGCGTCTATTCATCCCGCAACGAGCTCGTCTCGCAATGCAATCTCCTCCTTCTTCCCCTCCGCCTCTGCCTGCTGGGCGGCGTCCCCGTTCCCGTGTGCCGCAGCCTCTGCCTCTGCCTTCTGTGACGCCGCCTTGCCGTTGCCGTTCTGCGGACCAGGCTCTTTGACCCCAGCGGCCTTGTTCTTCTTGCTCAGCGTAATCGCCCCCTTGGCCAGCGCCTCGCTCGGCAGCGGCCGCACGATGGGCTGCGCGACCCACCACGGCCGCTTGCACCGCCGGATCGTGCCCCGGGAGCTCTCCGCCTCCGGTACTGCCGCCGCCGCCGCACCGGACCCCTGGACCTCGCCTGCCCCTCCCCCGTTGGAACCGACCACCGCGGCGGTAGGCGGCGGGTCGTCCAGCGCGCGCAGCTCCGCCTCGAAGCTCTCCCCGCCGGTGCGCTCGTACTCGAGCAAGCCCTCGGCGACCCTGCGCTCCACGGCGTCGAGTACCCGCTCGTAGCCGTCGATGCCGTCCTTGCGGCTGCGCGCGAGCATGTCGCGCACGTCGGTGTGCCGCGTGACAAAGTGCCGTAGCAGGTGGAATAGATGCGGCTGCATGGCCGAGAGGTTGGGGTTTGCCTCCTCCTTGCGCGGCGGGCCGTCCTTCTTGCGCCGCTTGCGGGCCGGCTCGTCGCCGTCGCCGCCCTCGCGCTCGGCATCCGCCGTGAGCCAGGCCGTGTCGTCCCCGGGCATGAAGAGGGGCCGTCGCTTCGGCGGCTCCTCGCCGAGCGCGTACTTGTGAATTATGTCGAGATATCGCCTCGTCATGCCGTCGACCCGCCAGCCGCCCCTGCCGTCCTTGCCTCGCCAGTACTCGCGTCCCTCCTCGCCCACGGGCGGTGGCTTGGCGAAGATGGCTGGGTCGCTCAGGTTTCCCTCTGCGCTCATGATTCCATCAACGCCCGTTGCCTCGAGGCACTTCTCGACGTCGCCCTCCTGCAGGATGTTGCCGTTGGCAAACATGACCGTCTCGGGGGGCAGGCTGTCCCGAAGCCACTTGAGCGTCTCCCAGTCCGCCAGGCCCGTCAGGTGTCCTTTCTGCTCCCGCCTTCGGCCGTGCACCGTCAAGATGGAAGCGCCGGCCTTGAGGACGTTCTGCGCATACGCCAACGTCTTTTCCCTCGTCTCCAATATTCTTATCTTGGCTGTGACGGGGATGGAGAGTTCCTTGTGAAGTTTGTTGATGAGGCGAAAGATGAGGTCTTGGTCCTCTTGGAGAAAAGCGCCGTAGTGACCCTTTCTCGCGATGCCTTGGGGACAGCCCAGGTTGAGGTCGACAGCGTCGCAGTAGGGCGCAACGTGGCGGGCGGCGGCGAGGAGCGCGTCGGGGTCGTTGGCGCAGAATTGTACAAAGAGCGGTCGGTCCATGGAAGGGTTTCCGTCGAGCCATGGCTCCGACGCGTCAGGTCGGACAGCCTGGAAATGGCCCCGGCGGTACTTTTCCTCCTGGGAGAAAAGGCGGGCGTGTAGCATCGGGGTATACGCAAGGAGCTTGGATTGCTCCGACTCGGGCATGTAGGATCGCGTGAGCATGCGCCATGCCTAACAAAAACCATACAGAGTCAGTCAAATATCCCGGCGTGCGCCGGCGTTGGCCGAGAAGTGTCATCCAGCAGGGTGACGTACAAACTCAGACTGGTCCACCATGGGAGCCACAATGTATTTGGGGCTTCCAATGCTCTCGTAAAATGCCCTTCCATGAAGCTTGCCGGGCTTGGCTGCCTCCTGCGCTTCCGTTGCCGTCATGGTCGCGTATTGTTTGCGACAGGCGAGCCTGTCCGTCGGGGCAAATCGAGCCGTTGAGAGGCGTCCAAGCACGGAGAAGCGGGCGATCCAACTCCGTCGCATCAATCGGGTCGAGCGTGGCACAGTGCCCCTGCACCCGTGTAGCTCTAAGCAGTTGGACTCGTTGTCGTGAAAGGGCTGCTCACGCGAGGCTGGCTTGCTGGTGGAGAGTTGAGCGCGGCGCAGATGATGGAGGAGAAAAAAAGTCGGTGGTGCTCCCGCTCGTTAGGGGTCCCGGATGTGGGGCCGAATGTGAGGCTTTGCGCGCGTGGCGCCGACGGCCGCGCCGACGGCAAAAGTGGCCCCTGCCTCCCGTCATTCACCCTCCCTCCCTCTCTCGGCCTTTGTGCAGCCTCGCGCCACGACACCAGGCAGGACGAGGCGAGACACAACCAGGCACGACAAGGCATCCGTCACTAGGGTGGCACGGTACTCTGTACATAGCATCTTGTCTCTAACGGACCCGATTAATGCATTCCTCGCTACAGCTGCCCATCACACACACAAACTGATGCCCGCCCTCGGCCGCCCGTCGCTGGAAACAACGCTATATGTCATTGTATTGGCTTCTCTCCATCGATACCGCCTCGGGTCGGCCTGTCGTCTACCCTCGCTGCCCCGGCCGTCGCCCGCGCTGCACACTCGAGCAACCCGTGAAACGTTCCGAGCCGGTCCCGCATCCTCGCGGACACGTCGCCGTCGACCCTCAGCATCAATGCATCCGCCCTCTATCCTCCAACGTCGCCTTGATGCTTCGCCTGCTCCCCCTCTTCCCCTTGTGTGCTATACCCGTGCTTCTGGCCGCAATATTAAGGAGATGTGTATGACTCTTGGGCTAAATCCCCGCATGACATGTCGAACAGGCAAACTGACCAACGCCGTCGACACCGTACTATGCTGTCCCTGAACGCCGCGAATGGTAGGTAAATGACGAGCAATACATGGCTCTTGCGTCTACAACACCTCTTCGTCGCAGATCAATCGCCCGACAACCCTCGTCTCTGTCGCTAGAATGACTCAGAAGAAGTGAGTGTAGATCTTGGAGTTCTCGTGGACTTCCATCTCCTGTTGTCAAAGTGTCAGCGTCCGACCATCAAGGTTCACCAAGCCATCAATCATCCGCAACATACCATCTTGAACGTGTTGAGCTCTTCCTTGATCTGCTGCGCAAGCATCGGCGTGAGACGGTTGCAGGTCGCAATCTCGCCCCGTCGGTCGTACTCCTGGCTTGGCCATGTGTCGTAGAAGACGATGCGAGGAGAGAACGTCGCGTTTCTCTTCCCGCCCTGTGGCGTTCCAGGGGGGCTCTTTGCGTCTTGTCGGAGACGAAGGGCCGACATGAAGTAGTCTTCGTTGCCGATGGCGATGGAGCCGGTCCTCCGATGGCCTTGCGTCTCGTCATTTGGCGTGCTGGGGGCGCTTGAAATGGGAGAATCCGCTACATTGGGAATGTTGGGCAGCACGAGATCAGGCGACGCATCAGCTTGTCGAACCGATGGACTCCCAGAACCTAATCCTCAGTTAGTATATGCATCTTAAACCGCTGCTAATTGACTAATCACTCACGCTTCAGGATGCCCTTGCGCACAGCAGCAAGCACCTCGGCACGCTCCCTGTCGCCGCCGACGATGCTCTTTCGGGGCCCACTCCTGTCCGTCCCGGAGCTGCCTGAACGCTCTGACATCTCCGGTACCTGAGCAGCATCCAGAGAGTTGCGCTCGAGATGAGGGAACCCAGTGCCGCCGTTTCCGGCCGCAGGATCGGCAGTGACATTGACACGCTGCGTCTCGGCTTCGACGGTGATCATGGAGACTGCGGCTTGGCTGGCCTCAGGCGGCACCGCCTCCGCGGCAGGGACGCCAATCACAGACTTGGGGCGGAAGAGGCCGACCAGCGACCGAGTGCTCTTCTTCATGCCGCGCCCCATCTTTCGAATCATAATGGACGCCGATGACGCCGTGGAAGAGATGGAGAGGTTGTCCGTCGAGCCAAAGAACCTACTTCCGTAGATGCTGTTGCCGATACCACCGGCCTCTTGCGCTTCGGCAATGCGAGCCTGTTCCGCATCGTAGGTTTCATCGGACGGAGATTCCTTGCCAAGTTTGGCCTGCTCATTCTTGTCCGTGCCCTCTCCCTCGTCACCTGCGGCGGCCTTGCGAAAGTCCGCTGCGCTCCCGAAAGAAAACGCTCGTCGCAAGCGCGACGTCTTGCTCTTTGCCTTCACCCCTTTCTGGTTGATGGCAGCCAGCTGCTTCGCCGCCGGGGAGTCGGTTTTGCTCCCAGCAGAGCCTGGAGCCACCGCATGCGATGGCTCCTCGGCCGACTCCGTCGCCATGGTCGCCGGCTTGGAGAGGGGAGAAGGGTTGATTGTGCGCTTCGCTGCATCGGAGGACGAGCCTCGCTGGGGAGGAGCCACCATCTTTGGTTGGTCAACTTTGGTAGATGTCTCGTCGGATGCGAGCAAAGAGGGGTTGCCAGCGGGGGCTGACACATTGCGGTTGGTAACCTGCACATCAATCCTTGTTAGCACCACTGCAGGCGATGCATGGATCTGATTGGGCAATGTGCAGGATGTCGACTTGTAACTCACCGAGGATGTCCTAGAATGATTGCTTCGGCTTGAAGAAGTGCTCTCGGAGCTGGCCTTGCGGGAGTGGGCCGTGCTTGAGCCAGGTCGCTGAGGCCTCAGACCCCGTTCCGAGGGACGAGCAGGTGTTGGGTTCGGCCCAGGCTTGTGATACTCTGGGCTTTCCATCGCATGCATGCTCCGCCGTCGAACCCTCTTCGCCTCCTCTTGAGCCTGGCGGCTGTAGTGGTGCATATCATCCATGGACGAGACCGAGACCAACCCTTTGCCGCTGGGAAGGCTCATGGACTGGGCATGATTTGGGCTCCTCTGAGCGCTATACAACGGAGTGGCGTTGTTGACCATTGTGATGGTGCCGGGCAGGGTAGAGCTCTGGGAGCGTGCGTGATGCGTCGCACCGCCGCTAGGACGTCTGTATCGATCAGACGTGCTCCGGTTCGATGTTCCGGAGCCGAACGAGGGCTGAGTATTGACGGAGAGAAAAGATTGCGGCCTGGCTAACGTAGAGCTGCTTCGCAGGGCCGAGTCATCGCGCGAGCCGCTCTGGCCGATGCCAAACGAGTGAGGTTGGCCACCCATGTTCACTGCCATGGGGCTGCTCAGAAGGGGCGGTCGATAACTCGCGTTCATGTCTGGCGTCTGAATACCCGGAACGGCCGGTGACGAATGTGTCCGATAAGCACCGTACTGCTGCCATTGCATGTTCTGCATGTTTTGGTTGAGGTTCGGGGTGCTGGTGAAAGCATATGGTTGAACCGGGGCGGTGTTCCCTCGATATGCCGCAGCGGCGGATCCTTGGTAGGCAGATCTCGGCGCCTGTGAAGAGCTTCCCATGTACTGATGGTTGCCATGCTGCTGCCCAGCCGGCATGATGCCGGAGGTAGTGGACGGTCGTGTTTGAAGCATCGTTACGGTACCAGTCTGCTGAGGATAGGTTTGTACCAACGCAGCCATAATTCCCCGTCACAAGCAGTGGGTGATGGTGTTTGGGCAAGACTGTGCTTTTTGTCTTTCGAGGTCTTTGTTGGCTCGTTTTGTTGGTCGACAGCACAACGAAGTGATTCGACGACGACTAGGCGGCGACGATCCGACCCAGACCTGACACAAGACCGGGACGCACGGAGTTACTGTGATGATGCGTTAGCGAGGCTTCGACAAGACAAGAATGGCCGCATGTGAGAGCCGAATCAAGAAGAGTGCAAGCGTCTGGCAAGGGGTAAGGAAGCAGCAAAGACGCGTCCATCGACAAGGCGGTCCAACCTTTTTCAGAGTTTTTTTTTCTTTTTGTATGTTTTTCTTCTTCAGCGAGCTGCAAGAAGTGCCGGTGACCAACGTGTGCTCGTCGGTACCACAGATTGCGAGGAAGGAAAGCGATTGGAGGCGATGGAATCGAAGGACGCCAGCGACCGGAAAGGACAAAGAGTATTCGTGTCGAAAAGAGGCGCTCACTTTCACCGTAAGCACGTTTTGCGACTCGACTCTACTACTGGGCGGCGAAGACGAGCCGCTGCGTGCGTGGGCGAGGTTCGAAGGCCCGGGGTTGCCGCAGCGGAGGCAAACACGACGAGATCTCCAGCGAGGTTGAGTCAAAACATGGAAGCCGTATCGACGAAGGGTCGTGGGAGAAACGACACCGTCTGAAGAATGCTTGGCCGGGAGACTGTGCGAGGTATTACGGGTTCGGCGTGGAGTAAGACGAGCGTTCCGGTTGGAGCGGGCCACCTCACAGAGGGAGAAAAAAGGAGAGGCAAAAGGCCAACGAGGCAATGCAGACGGCAAGCCGGGGGGAAACGATGTGCAAGGCAACGCTCTGCAACGCGGCGATGGAGAATGACAACCGTCGAAGAAGGAAAAGAAAAAAACGATAAGCAAGACGAGTTTGTAGAAGTCGAGGGCGCGGAGGCGAGTCGGGAGGAGAAAGGGGTCACGGCGGGAGATTTGGCGTCTGGCAGGCACGCGTTGGCTGCTCTGCTCTACTCTACCGCGGCGTGTCGGGCGTGGAGGAAGGGCGAAGGTGCTGAGAGGCGAGCTGCAACGGGGAGGCGTACAAATGGCAGGAAGAAAGAGAGGGGGGCAATGGGGACGAAGATGGAAAGGAAAGAAGACGGACAGGACCGTGTCGTGAGCGTGGTGGTGGTGGTGTTGGAAGAGGTGGACGCGGACGTGGAAGTGGAACGAACGGGGGGAAAGGGGAGTTGGGAGGGAGCGCACAGTGGGAGGAGGTGGGCCCGCGAAGTGGCCTGGTCGGACTTTGCTCTCTGCCTGGGGCGGGAGCTGCTCCTTGACCTGGTGCTCGGGGCGGAGACGTGACCGACCGACCACCTGCTGGCCTGGATGGACACGGCACTGGGCCTACGTACCTAACTGTGCCTTGCCTCCGTCTAGGGAAGTTGCCCAGCGCTGCTTCAATCTCCAGTGTGCCCCCAAAAGTCCCCAATGCCCAAGAACAGCAGAGCGAGTGACCACCGCTACCTACCACCGCCGCCCGCCCGCCGCCCAGGGCAGCGGCCGACGCAACGGCAGCGGCCTCAACAACATGACGAACCTTCGCATCCACAGGCGAGCAATGGTGGCAACGGCCGCGTGCGGGCTTGGCTCGAGGTACGAGGCACCCAACCAACCATGGCGGGCTCGGGCCTGGTCTCCTCAACCATTGACCTCGATGGCGCCCCAGTGGCTGCTAACCGCCGCGGGCCACAGAGGCCGGCGACAGCGCCCAAACCTTACCTTGGCACAGTGGGCGCGCGGTGCTGCCACCGGAGGGCCTGACTGCGTCGAGTCGACAGAGGTTCCTGGGCGCCGCTGCCGCTGAGACGTGCCCGCTACCTTGTCGTGGCAGGGCAGGGTTGGTACGGGGATGTACCTCCTCCACCACCACCACCACCACCACCACCACCGACTGTCAGCGGGCGGGCGGGCGCCTCGGGGGGGGAGTGGAGCGAGCCACAGCGCTGGCCAGGTCCTGGTCGCCCATCCCTCAGGGCCGAAGCTTGGGGAGCTCCGGGTGCTGGATTCGGTTTAAGGCGCAGCCGCACAACGGGTGATGGGTGGCCTGGGGCCCACCGCTGTGACGACGGCGGGGGAGCTGGCGAGAGTGACTGGCCGGCGCGGCGGAGCTTCCATGCAAAGAATACGACAGCTGCTGCAGCTCGCGCGCCGCCGACGGGGCCCGGCGGTCCATTCACAGCTTGAACCCGCCCGCTCGTGCTGCACGGAGCATGGACGAGGAGGCATCGAGTATTACTGGGTACGGAGTACTAACGGAACGGAGTACAGTGCCTGACGGAGTACGGCGCACCAGCAACTGCTGCGGCGATACAGCACCCGTCGATGCAATGCAGTCCGGTGTGATGTGCAGCAGCCCGCCCGCGCGCCGGTGCTGGCCGGCCCGCGTGCGTCAGTCGAGCACACGCGTCCTCTTTTGTACGAGCGCACACAGGGTGCCTTGCGCCGTGCTCGCACGCTGTGCGCTTTGCTCCTCGTGCACGACGAAGGTACGTGCAAGTAATCGACTGCTCATGTGCCCGGGGGCAGCATTGGGCCCTCACTTTCCTTTGGCGAAATTGATGCCCTCTGCCGCCTCTGTTCCCCGAGATGAAGCTCTCGGTTTTCTTGGCTGGGGTCGGGTGACCGCTCTGCCTCCCACGTCGCGGCGCAAGGAGGCCAACGGGCGGCGCGCAGCACAGATGGAATCCGCTTGCACCGAGCCGAAACAGAGTTGAGCCACCTTCCTTATCCACCCATTCATCCATTCCACTCAACCCGGCATTCTGCTTGTCCACGGCTCTTTGTCTTTTTTGTGCGTGCCCGTTTTGCCGCTTCGACAGAAAATACACTCACAAGCCCTCCCTCACCCTTTTTTTTCCTTCCGCCGTCAGCGCTGCCTGCGGCACGACCTGGATGGAGCCTCGGCCGCCTCGACGTCCCGGGCGACGGCGCAGAGGCTCTCGAAAAGGGGGGTGCGCTTGGCGCGACTGATTGGGCGGCCGGGGTCTCTGAGGCATTGATCAGTCCTGCGCTAACAGGGGATCGTGGGCCTGGCCGCGGCGGGCAGGATTTCGCGGCGCGGTATGGCAAGGCATGGGTGGGTGGTGGGTGACGGCCCCTGTGTGGTGGGTTGGGCGCGGGTTGGCGGGATGGCGAGCATCCCATGCCATGCCATGCCACCCATCCTGCCGCATCCGAACATGAACCCCGACCCGACCAGAGTTGGGTAGTTACGGAGCCATGGAGCCATGGAGCGTGGGAGCAGAGGCCCGCGGACCTGCACCACATGCGTGGGGAAGTCGATGCAACAGGTGAATGGACATGATGAGGATGGGCGGGAGATCAAACTACTAATCTAATCTTGCGGGGTGCGCAGAGGACCGTGTTGGCGACGAGTCGTTTCGAGCAAGCCGAGAGCCCGCGTCGACGTGACCCGTCGCCCTGCTCAACGCCAGCGCGGCTGATATGAGGTCACATCTTGTTTTCCTCGTGTTCGACCCCCCGACCGTCTCATCTCGGGACCTCGACCTGACCTGTGCTGACGCGGACTCCTCACCTGTCTTCTTTATTATTAGCCGGCGGTGGAGCCGGATCGGGCGAGCCCAGAGGGCAGATCGAAACAGGCGACCCTTTTTTTCTGCCAGCTTTCCCATTCCCCAATCCCCATGTGCCCGCCGCCCGACCCGTCTTGTCCGCCACCAGGACTGGACTGGTCTCCAGACGAAACAGCCGTGGCTCCGACAAGGGCGACCTGCTGTGGTCCGTACTCCGTAGTCCTTTATCGGACTGCATGTATTGTATGTACCGTACCGCATGGCACCGTACAAAACAGCCATGCAGACAGTCTCCTCTGTGTGTGTTGTGCGTGTCCCTGGTACGCGGATGGATGTGCGTGCTCGACTCGTACTCGCGTTAGTTAGTCGCGGGCGCAGCGTGCAGCACCAAGGCGAGACATGCAGACGTCGCGAGACATTGGCCATCGATTGGCCCGTCGCTCGATTGTCCGCGACCGCGGCGGACGTGGACTCGGAGCATGGCACGGGGCAGGCAGGGGAGCCTTGGCCGATCCGGCATTTCACGAAGGGGAGAGAGACGGCCTTGTCAACTCGAGTCGTACTGAACTCAACCCAAGTGAACTCGTCTCGTCATCCAGTTGACTAAGACGACTCTGCACCTGCCTGTCAAGTGGCTTTCGAGCGTCCTGTGTACTTCGTTGGTACGTTCTCGCACCGTACGAGAGGGGTACCGGGACCTCGTACTAGGTACTTCGTACCTGCCTTGCTTGATGCACTTCACAAGCAAGACATGTGAGGTTGGCAGGCGACGCCGTGGTGATTTCTTCCACGGAAGAGGCTCCAGTTGCAGGTGGAGGAAGACCCCTCATCAAGCCCCTTCCTGCTTCCACAGATTTCTAGCTGTATGATTGGAAGCACGAACTGAACTCTCCCATTGCTCGGGTCTCCTCCTCGAGCTCCTCTTGGCCCCCATTGCCCTCTCTTTTTCGTCTCCATCGGGTCCCGCGAGCTCGTGCGTCTGCGTGGGTGCGTGCCTCCCTCCGCAACCTACCTCGCTTGCCCCTTGCTGCGGCGTCTCCTCACTCATCGTCAATCCCTGGAACAAACGGGCAGGTGGACTGCCCTCGAGTCCGACGCACGCTCCACGCTGGCACTGCCAGGGCCGCTTGACAGCCAAGGAGCCGAGCATCCCAGGCCCGGCGTCCAGGGTTCCCCTCAGGAGTGCATGAGGAATTGTCAAACCGATGGGGCCCGGGGGATCGGCACGCCGCCAGGCCAAGGCGTCCGTTAGCCCTCTGCCTCCCCTGGCTTCAAGGTTCTCTGCAGACGCACGCGCCTGATCGAATACCCTTCTCCTTCAACTGCGTACCTGTGCCTATCAAGCCAATCGACCTGGATGCCAGGCAGCCCCTCCCAACTCTGCCCTCCAACCCAACCCTTGCCAACCCAACCTGCATCTGCCCGCTCGAAACTCTGTCCCGCCACCGTCGATTTAGCGACTTGATGGCGACGGTGGGGGCCAGCGCCATCGCCTGCAGCAGCTCGCCAGTTGAGGCAACACGCGGCGTGAGCTACTGCGGCCTTCGATGCCATGGATGCGTGCACGCAACGTCGAGGGGTGTCTGGGAACGATTTTTGCCTCTGCCAACTCTGCCATGCGACATAAATCGCCATCCATCCCCTTCGCCTCGCTTGTCGAAAAGGTCGCATGTGCTGGCTCCAAGCTTGGACAGGAGCCTCGCCAGTCCGCAAGCAGCATCTCTTGCATGCATTGGCGGCCGCGCTTGGTGAAGGTGCCATGGCGATGGCACGACCCCTCGCGGGCCGCCGACCGGATGCGGCTCGTCGAGGCACACGGCATCCAATCGTGTTACCCGTGCCTCCGTCCCGAATTTTGTGCCAGAGCCGTTGCGGATAGATTTCTCGTCCGGCCTGCGACGGGCTTCTCTGGGCTCTTTTTCTCTTGTGTTGCCGCTTCGCATTCCCGCCAAGTTGACGTTATTGTTGAGCAAGGCTGTTTGGCTCCGCGCGCGCTAACCACCTAGCCGCACTCTATCTCAGACCAGTACACAATGCGTTTGCGCATTCCTCCCAGATCCTCAAATGCCCCTTGTTTCCAGATTGCGTTTTTCTTCACCCGACGTGCCTGACGGCCGGTGGGCCACGACCCGTGCTGCTCGCGTCTCGAGCACCACAGCGGGCGAGTGACGGCGAGCCACATGATGCTACACAGCATGTAAAACATGGCCTTTTGGGGCACTCGACCTGCCGCATGAGACGCTTCCCACCAATGTGTCTGGCCCGATTGGATCTCGCCCAACGGCGAGACGCAGATCGGGGCAGCGCCGCGACATCACATGTCGATGACTTGCCGGGCTCGAGACCTTAAACACTGCAGGTCTCTTTTGGAGTCGAGTGAAAATGCATCAATGCAACCTTAGCGACATCGGCATTCACCGACGAATGGGGGCTGGATAGTGAATGTGGACATCAGCCATGTTCCTTGACTCATTTGGTGGCCCGGGCCAGTTGATGCCTCATCGATTGCGGCCCTGCCTTATAACAAGCCTCTTTATTCCTCGGGGTATTTCTGGTAGACATTTCGTGCCAGCCTGCCTCCTGGCGCCTCACCGTAGATGCTCATGTCCTCCGCACTGACTCGACTTCGGTTCAGCTGCAGGGTCATCCCGGATTCGGTCGTGCAAGCGTAGCCAAATGGCTTCAGCTAACTGCAAGGGCGTGAAGTCCGCGCACGCAGACCTTCCAACCGGGCGTGACAGCATTGACTCTGCCTGTCAAATCATCTTCTGTCATTCCAAGCTGAGGGCGATCGGCCGGTCGTGTAGGCCGTTGAGAGACACACACAACCTCGGTGGCCAACGTGTTGTTGATGTGGCGGGAAACTCATTGACGACCTCATACACGTGTTTTTGCTGCACATACCTCGTAACAAGTACAGCAAGGCGCCAGACACGAAATGAGAAGAAGAAGAGGAGACTCGAGATTCCCATTGAGACACTCCGGTTCCTTGGTTGATTTCTGATTGTAGGTGCTCATGCTACTTGAATTCAATGTTGAACTCAGACGAGGTCACCTACCCTACAACCCCGCGCCCGTTCGGGCGGCTGAGGAAATCCACACTCCTGAACGGGTAAGCAACGTCAACTCTCAGCCGCCTCACTATGAAGCGCAGCCCAAGGTCGAAAAGGTTGACGACTTCCCATGGCGCTGCCCATAGCGCGACTCATCCGCCAGACGCCCGAGGACTTGACACTGCATCCGGTCAAGTCGCGCAGCGCCTCATATCGCCGACCAGCCAGTCGTGAAGTGATGGACGTTGACGCTGTCGTATCGCTTTCGATTTCGTCTCTGGGCTGCAGACTGCCGCGTCGCTGAGCTTGGCTCGCCACGCCTCAGAATCAGCCTCACTTTGACCGCCAGCCATGGTCGGCGTTCCGCGCAGCAGCGGCTGCCAGCTGTGCAGGAAGCGGCGCGTCAAGTGTGACGAGGCACGCCCGGGGTGCGGCAACTGTCGCAAGTACGGCGCCGAGTGCCCCGGCTACGAGCGCGGCATCAAGTTCGTCTCGGGCAAGCACCAGATCAGACAGCGGGGGAAGCGCAGCGACAACGAGGGCTCCGTTGCCAGCGGCAGCAGCAACTCCAGCGCTGGGTCCGTCACGCCACCCGGCGAGCCATCGCCTCCAGGTGCAGATACGCTGGTCAAGTCGCTGCGGCCCAACAGGGCAGAGTTCATCGGCACCATCATCGCGACGGTGCGCACAAACATCACCCAGTCTGACGTGTCGGGGTTTCTGTCTTGGGTCGACCTCGGCCGGCTTGGTTCGCGCGCTGTTCTCGACGGGGCCATGTCCTCGCTGGCCATGCATCTCGTGGGCAAGGAGCGTGCCGACGAAGACATGATTGCCTACAGCAGAAGCGTCTACGGCAAGTCGCTGGTAGCGCTGCAGACGAGCCTGCGACACGAGACTGAGTGGCGGTCGTCTGAGACGCTGTGCGCGGCCATGCTGTTGTGTGTCTTTGAGGTATGTACATCGACGCTCACACCAAAAAGCAACGAGCCTTGCTGACCGACACCTGGAACAGCTCTTTGCTGGCACGACATCGTCAGACTCGTGGCTGGCTCACGCAAAGGGCATAGGGACGCTGATGAAGGAGCGTGGACCGGCGGCGCACGCCACCGGCTGGGATGCCTCCATGATACTGGCCTTTCGCGGCGTCCTGGTGAGCTGACGGCCACGTAGCCCTGCACGCGAGTAAATGTACATGTGCGCTAACGGCTGAGGCAGATTATGTGCGACATGTTCTTCCCCCAGAGCGACGTCTGCTTTCTGTCTCTGCCGGAATGGAAACCAATAATCAAGGACGGCGGACGGCACTTGATTCATCCAGAAGAGCAGCCTGACCGCGTCATCCACATAGCGGACAACTTCTTCGAGTGCCTGGCAGAGCTCCCTGCCATACTAGCGCCAGCCTATGTCCTCCGCGAATCGCGGGCCATGGGCACCGTTCACGAACCCGGACCTGAAAAGGTCGCTGCCCTCGCCCAGCGCGCGCTGCGTTGCCGCGAGCTCTTCGCCCAGTGGTACAGGGACTTCAAGACTCTCAACGTGATGCCCGAGGAGGTACCAACGCAGGACCCATCATCGCCCTTCGCGCTGGTACTGCAGTACCGAGTCTCGTGGATCGGGTCTATGCATATGGGCTACTGGGCGAGCATGCTCATCCTGCAGGACGCGCTTGTGCAGTTTCGCTACCTCGAGCTGGACTCGGAGGAGCAGGCGCGGCGTGACGAGCTGGTGCGCAACATCCTCCGCTCGCTCGAGACGGTCGGGTCCGGCACCATGGGGCCGTACCGCGTGGGCTTCGCGGTGCGCATCGCATACGAGGTTGCGAGCCCGGAGCACCAGCGATGGGTGCTGACCCTGCTGGACAGGTTCAACAAGACGTATGCGGCGACGGACCGGGCGACATATCCGGAACCCAAGCCGGAAGAGAATGTAGAGTGGGAGTTACTTGATTGAATGATATCATAACAATCTAGAGTAAATTACTGCTGTGAGGCCTTCTGCCTCGGGTATACCATTTCTCGACAGGCAATCCTGCCTTGCCGCCTGCCTTTCTCTAGTAGCAGAAGTCGTTCATTCATACGTCGTGACCAACACTGCCTGTCGCGTACCAGCCGGCGACGGCGAAATCGTACATTGTGCGACAGAACCCCTACCGGCCCATTAAGACCCCTCTTTGCCACCCCTGTCTTTCTAATTCTTCTTGCCGATCATGGAGCGGGCGAGGTCCCTCAGGGACGGCCCACCGAAGAAGTACTGGTCCGTGTGGCGGCCGCACGTCGTGTGCACGTTGACCTTGGGGGCGGGCTTGACAAAGGTCGACGTCTTGCGGAGCGAGGTGGGGAACGACGATGAGAGTGATGGGGAGGTTGCAAAGGCGCTGGAGGAGTCGCTTGAGTAAGAACTCGTGCGCTGGAGAGATAGTGTTAGCAACTAGACGGCAATGTGTGGGTGAAGGAGGGGCGTACTTGAGTCTTGGAGAGGGTTGGGATGTCGATGGGCCTGCTCGCCGTGTGTGTCGAGGTGTCGACTGACGGGTTGGCGCCTGCGCTGGTTGAAGATCCGTTCATAGTTGTGGTGTTGTAAATTGCTTGGTTGAGTGTAACAAATGGGAGCAGTGTCACCGGGTTGGCCGCGATGACATCTATAGATAAGGGTAGTGGGCTCAACTGGCACGTCAGCACGGAAGCAAGAGCAAGCAGTTTCAATTGATTCCTTCTTGAAGCTGCTCTACCGTGCCGGATTACAGTTGTCAACGGAATTCGATGATGTGAGGAGAAAATGTTCTGGAATCCTCATGGGGGCCAAGAAGGGACGGAGACGTGTTATATGTACGAAGCGTACGTGTGCCGGGGCGCACATGTGTACCCAAGGGATGCAAGTCAGACCCCGTGTGCGATGCCATGCATGCCATGGAGAGCTGCTACCCAACTTCAAGGGATACGCTGCAAGCCGGCGTCCGGGGCTGAGGTCAGCCGGCGGTCGAGGCCGGGGGTGCGGCCAATGGCGGCGAGCCACGGCCGCAGGATACGGGGCCGGCCGGAGCGCCCGATTGGATCGGCGGCCCAAGGCAACAGGATTTATCGACGGCCGGAGGGCAGGACGTGCCGCTGGGCGCTGGGCGACGCCATGGACGCTTGGCCGGCCAGCCCCCAAGAGCCCCTTGGGCCGCCGTTTCCCCACGTCGTGGGCCGCCGGCCTTCTGGGCATTGCTGGGGTCCTCTGGGGATCGTGCTCAGATGACCACCGCTTGTCGCCCAGCCAGTGAAGCCGGCGAGCACCCGGCCTGTGAGTCAAGACTCTAGTGCCACCTTGTGATGGAGCTTGGCCTGCTTGGCGACCGTTGACGATGGAACTCGAACGGTGCCGGGTCGGCGTCTTGTGGCCGCGGAATGCTTCTAGAAGACGAACCTTGCGCAGTTTGAGTGCCGTGTTACCGAGTCCCGAAGACGAACCATCATCACGGCAACCACCACGCCAGCCATGACGACAACTTTGTCAATCAGTCGAGGTTGATCCACCGTTGCGTTTCCGTAAAATCAGTGTATCGTCTGCTTCCATTTGCGCTGCTCTGGTGAGCGTCATGAGTTCACGTGCCGGCTTTATTGGTTGCGCGCTGCTCTGGCCATATCGTCTGCAAACATATGCTCGCTGTTCCGGCGAGCGAAGAAGACAATGATCGACACACTCGAGTTGACCGGAGCAATGATTGCCGGTCGACAAAGACACAATGCCTGGCTCGAGTACGCATGCGTCTCTTGGCGAGATGGTGGTCTCGGTTGACTGTACTGACGGCTGACGACTCAGTAAGACGGTGGAGACTGGCCGACCCCACATGCCGTGGGTGCCTGAGGCACTGAGCACACAGGGCCTCCGGCCCCCATTCCATCCACGGCAGCCACCGTCGCCGCCCGCCCAAGTCTCGCAGTGGGACAAACGGCGCTGCCACCTCGACGTCCATCAGCCCTACCGAGGAGCTTGGACTTGAGCCGCAAGGCATGGCGTCATGTCGTGGTAGCTCCCGAGATTCTGGAAAATCCGGGGTATCTAAAACTCGGCCAGGGCCGTTGCCAGACGTGAACTGTCTTGCGAATTGAGACGTCGCACGCGCTGCTACGGGCTCGTAGTGCGTGCCGTGGGCGTCGGGACGCCTCTGCAACTGTTTTAATGCACTTTTTGGACCCGTACGGCGCCGTTGTGGGTGTTTCGTGGTGTATCTGCCGTCGTCTGTTTCCTCGAGGTCATTCAAAATGAGTTTTGCTGCCCCTGCCTCCGCTTCACCATGTCGCCGCTTTTTAGTGGTGCTCTGCGACGTTTTGCAGTGGAAATGGCGCTGGGACCACCCATAACCATGCTGAGGCGCGCGGTGCGACTCCACTTTTCCGGCCTGCACGTGAAGCAGCCCACCAATGGCGTCTCCCGTGCCGCCAGGTACCAAGTACCCTCACCCTCGCACCCGCGACGCCGACACGCGCATCGCACCGCACGCCCGACTGCCTGCCCGTCGTCGCTCCTCGAGTCTCCCATCACCTCAGCTCACCTCGAGTCCCGCCAGCATCGCGACAACCATCGCTGGTCACCCACTCCTCCCACGGCTCGCTGGGCAGGGCATCCGTTGCCTTGCTTCCTCTGCGTGTCTGCCCCGCGCGACGACCTCGTCGGCCCACGGTCGACCAGCCGGCCGCGCCGCCCTGCGACAGCTGTCGACCCATTCACGCTTTTGCTCGCTATTGTTCATCCACCAGCGCCATTGAAGCTTGCTTTATTCATCTCGTCCGCGGCACATCTGCATTAGCAAACGCATACCGACCTACAGGATATATTCGCAGACCTCTCACCCATGGTGCGCACCACATCTCCCTCAACCATCAATCCCGCATCGCCCTTGACTAATGCTCGCCCAGCTGGCATAACCACCACCCAGCCGCCGCGTCGCCGTACCAAAAGTCGACATCGCCACGCACTTGATACACTGAGAAATACTGTCACATTCAAGATTGTGTCGCAATGGGCAGCAAGCGAAAGCGGGTGCTAGAGGACTTTGATCCAAACAAGTCCGACTCTGAGGACGAAAACTTCGACCCAAGCGAGCAGCGCCCTCAGCGCAGCTCCAAGAAGGCTCGGCCGTCTCGCGGATCTCGCCCGGGCCGCAAGCGGAGCCACCGCTACCGGGGCTCCGATATTGACGACGACGAAGACGAAGAGCTCTCCGACAGCCAAGAAGAAGGCTCCTTTGTCGACGACGACGAGGAGGAAGAGCAAGACGCCCCCGTCAACGCCGCCGGTCGCCGCACCCGAAAAGCCGCCAGGACCTTCCACAACTACAAGGAGAGCAGCGACGGTGAAGACGAGGACGCTGAAGATATCAAAGACGACGAAGACGACGTCCCAGAAGACGAGCCAGAGGCAGAAGCGGCTGAGGAGCTCGAGGAGCCCGAGGAGCCCCAGCCGAAGGAGGAGTCTCACGAGCCCACCTCGCGGAGACTCGTTAAGCTCCGGGTCCCCAAAACCGCAACTATGCCTACTACTCGCCGGTCGACACGCGCTAGCACCGCCGACACGGACGAGTTTGTCGAGCTCTCCAACTCGGGCCGTCATGCCGTCACCTCCCGCGACTCGCGCAGCCGAAGCCCTGAAGCCTATACTCGCACTCGCAAATCGTCCCGCGCTATGAAGGGCCTCAAGTCTGCTCCTGAGCCGATAGAGCCGATTCAGGAAGCTACGCAGGAGAGCAGCGCTCCTCGAGTGGATGACGCGGACCAGCCTGACGAACTCTCTCAGGATGCCGATATACTCGAGGGCAAGGCGGCTGATGAAGAGATGCACGATGTCGCCGCTGGGGACCAAGATCAGGAGGAACCAAAGGAGGAAGCGGAAGCGACGGAAGCGGCCGCAGGCGATGACGAAGATGACGACGATGTTCCTGTTACGCGCAGGACTCGAGCCTCTCGTGCTGCTGCGTCTGCACCTGAAGAAGGACAATCCGACGCGGACCCCAACACGACATCGCGCCGTCTGACGCGTGGCTCGCGGACCAAGAAGTCGACTCAAGAACCTAGCAGTGACTTTGAGCCTGGCGATGAGTCCGAGGATGCAGAGATGTCGGGCAGCGACAAAGCGAAGAATCAAGAAGACGACAGCCCCACGCCGCGCGGTCGCTCCAATCGTCGTGGAGGTCGCACTTCACGCCGTGCCGACGACTCTGCAGACGAGGAGCCCGATTTTGATCTTGACGAACTGAACGAAGAAGCAAGAGAGCTGCGCCAGTCCTCTCGGCCCAGGCGCCGGCGGCGCGAGTCCCCCGTTGCGTATCAAGAGCACTCAAGGCGGTCTCGAGCCAAGGTGAACTACTACATGCCGCCGCTCACGGCTGTCAACATCGAGGAGGAGGAGATCCAGGATCCGGCGCCGACTCCATCTCGCTCTCGCCGCGGTAGGGGCGGCGGCGGCGGCGGCTGGGATCGGGGCCTGAACACGACATACGGCCCCTTTGGCGGTGGTGGCGGCGGCGGCTCCCTTCTGGGTGGGCCATGGGGCACTGGTGCTGCTGGAGGCGCCGACTCTGATAGCAGCGACGACGAGATGGTCCATCGCTCGAGCGTGGCCGGCAATGTTGGAATGACGCCCACTTCTGCAGCCCCCGGCGGACTCCTACCTGGCGGTCAGGGTCTTGCTGCCGAAGCCGTTGGTGCCACGCCTAATGTTGGCAAAATTAAGGATCGCAAGGCGCTTGCAGATGCCGACCCGCTCGGCGTGGACCTGAATGTCGACTTCAGCAAGGTCGGTGGCCTGCAGGGGCACATCGACCAGCTCAAGGAGATGGTCCAACTCCCGCTCCTGTACCCAGAGCTCTTTGCCAAGTTCCACGTCACGCCCCCTCGCGGCGTCTTGTTCCACGGTCCTCCCGGAACAGGTAAAACGCTGCTTGCTCGTGCCCTCGCCAACTCAGTTGGTTCTGGAGGGCGAAAGATCTCGTTTTACATGCGCAAAGGAGCAGATGCATTGAGCAAGTGGGTGGGTGAGGCCGAGAAGCAGCTACGGCTTCTCTTCGAAGAGGCACGAAAGACGCAGCCCAGTATCATCTTCTTCGATGAGATTGACGGTCTCGCGCCGGTTCGATCGAGCAAGCAAGAGCAAATTCACGCCTCGATCGTGTCGACTCTGCTTGCGCTCATGGATGGCATGGACGGCCGTGGCCAGGTCATCGTCATTGGCGCCACGAACCGACCAGACAACATCGACCCTGCCCTCCGTCGTCCGGGGCGGTTCGACCGAGAGTTTTACTTTCCGCTGCCCGACATTGAGGGCCGTCGAGCGATCCTCGACATCCACACGCAGGACTGGGGCCTGTCGGATCAGTTCAAGGCCTCGCTTGCGGAGAAGACCAAGGGATACGGTGGTGCCGATCTGAGGGCGTTATGCACTGAGGCGGCCCTCAATTCCATCCAGCGCACGTACCCACAGATCTACTCGTCTCGCGAGAAGCTCATCGTCGACCCGGACAAGATCACGGTTCACGCGTCTGACTTCATGATGTCGATCAAGAAGCTGATCCCCTCGTCTGAGCGGTCTGCCACGTCTGGCGCCCAGCCGTTGCCGAGATCCGTCGAGCCGCTGCTTCGTGCCCAATTCGCCGAGGCGAAGCGCGTTCTGGACCACTTACTGCCTCGCAAGAAGAAGTTGACTGCCTTGGAAGAGGCCATGTACGAACAGTATCAGGACGACGACCATGGATTCGGCCGTGAAGTCATGCACCAGGAGTTTGAGCGATCGCGCGTCTTCCGACCGAGGTTCCTCATCTACGGAGTTCACGGCATGGGCCAGACCTACATATCCTCGGCCATCCTGCATTACTTTGAGGGCCTGCACGTACAGAACTTTGACTTGCCAAGTTTGTTGGCGGATGGAAGGGTTCGTGGCCCCTCCTGCATCTTGGTGTTTTAATACTAACGGCTCTGCAGCCAATGGAGCAGGTGATTGTCGGTCTCTTTACGGAGGTTCGCCGGCACAAGCCGAGCGTCATCTACATCCCCAACATTGACGCCTGGTACGCGACCTTGACCGGTACTGTGGCGTTGATCACCTTCCAAACAATGCTCAAGTCGATCCAGCCCACGGATCCCGTCTTGTTGCTGGCGACTGCCGAGTGCGAGAAAGGAGGGCTGCCAGGCGAACTGGTGCGCGACTTTTTCGGATACGCTCGCAAGAATAAGATGGAGATTGGCCGTCCAGAGAGAGTATGTGTACCCCGGAACCGATTTGGCACGCGCGGCAATGCTGACCTGAACAGTCGTATCGAATGGAATACTTCTCCACGACCCTTGAATACGTCAAGAAGAAGCCAGCAGAGTTTCCAGATCCGGAGAACCGCAAGAAGAGAGTCTTGGAGGAACTTCCAGTTGCTCCTACGATTCAAAGCAAGCCGCCCACCAAGGCAGAAATGAAGGCCGTGCAGAAGAGGGACCATCAGCTGCTGAACGGCCTCAAGATTCAGCTGCAGCCGATCATGGACCAAATCAACCGGCGGTACAAGAAATTCAGGCAGCCGGTCATCCCCCCGGCCCAGATCGAGTATCTCTTTGCCGAGGCGGACCCCAATTTTGTGCGGCCAGACATCCCGGGAGCCGAAGTTCGACCCTTCGAGATCGTCAAGGACAAGCATGGGAACGACGTGTTGCGCGACACGGCCACGGGCAAATGCTACTACAACCTGGAGACGACAACAATAGAGGAGCGCTTGTCGAATGGATTTTACGCGCGACCGAAGGACTTCCTGTTCGACATCAAGGCTCTTGCCAGGGACGCCAGGAACATTGGGGACAAGGAGCGCACGCTCAAGGCAAACGAGCTCCTCAGCAATGTGGAGGTCGACGTGGCCAGCATCGAGACGAGCACGGCTCATATTGACTGGGAAGGGCTGTATCAACGTCAGTTGCAGCGCGCGAAGCTCGCAGCAGAGCGAGAACGCAAGCGGGCGCTGTTGCAGTCGATCAGTGACAGATTCCAGTCCGAGCAGGCAGCTGGGAACGACAGCGACTCTCAAGGTCCGGTCACGCTTGGTGAGGCAGTTCCAGGGGCGCGTACCATGGCCAGATTCCAGCTGCGTAGCCCGCTGTCGAACGGTCACGGCTTGGGGCTTGAGCAGGCCCAGGAGCCCCATCCGCTGAGCAACGGGACGTCCAACCAGACGGATGGTATCAAGGACGCCGACGTGCAGATGAGTGGTGTGGAAGACACGCAGGATGCGACACAGACACCGGCCATGGGTCCTCCGGCCAGGTCAGCGGACCAGTCCGCCGCGGCTTACACGGGAATGACTCAAATTTCGCAAAAGTCGGCTGTCACGTCGCTACCCCCAGGTGTCTCGCCGTCCGCGGTCATCAACGAGGCGTCAACGACCAAGACATCGGATCCATCGACGCACCGGTCGTCCAACTGGAGCACCCAGCTCACAAACGGAACCCATGGTGAGCAACGCAACAGCGGTCACGACAACGACGCCGACATTCCCGATACGTTGCCGTTGCCCGCCCAGAGCCAGGCAACGTCAAGTGACGAGGTGTGGATACACTCGCAAGCTCAGGCCATGGCGCGGGGCGACGTCGCACCCAGCGTAGCCGGGTCCTCTCAGTCGCAGGCTCGTCCAGTAGACTCGGGGTCTCGCAGCGGAGGCGCTCCTCCCCAATCTCAGGATACGCACGGCGAGGACTCCCATCTCGGGAACTCGGGCTCGTCGGCGTCTCAGCCACTAGCCGTCGACGGGGCCGTTGAGGGGTTCTTGGTCGAGGTGACAGACGGTACGTCTGGCTGCACCATCGAGCAGCTCGAGCAGATAAATCGGGAGCTCATGGATGAGATCTGGAGCAGCCGGCACGAGTGGAACCGCATGAAGGTGCTGGGGCGTGTGACGAGAGTGTTCAACGATACAATTGGTGAGATGGAGATCACGCAGGGCATGGACCCCCTGAGCCAGGAGTGAAGGGGCGCGTCGACGTGGAGGCGGAGATTGTAACAGAGTGTGCAGGGGGGGCACAGCGACGTGGTGAGGGTAAACAGGGCACGCAGAGCGGTGTTCGGGGGCGGTTTCTGTACGTACACTGCATTTGAACCCGGCGCGTGCGGATGCAGGCCAGGCACAGGAGTTGAGGGCAGGACGGACGGATCGGGGCGAGACAATCAGGATGTAAGAGCGGACATGTCACGCGCAGCCAGAACCACACTCGGTACATATATTTCATTAGATTGCTTTTGCATACGTATCATACAAGATGAACAGATGCCTCGGGCGCAGCAGCGTCGTTTAGAGCCGTGACTTCTTGGTGCTGTCGTAGCGCTTGCCCTCATCGTCCTGCTCGGCGACGGTTAGGTCTGGCAGCGCGGCGGGCATGATGCGGCGGGGGCTGGAGCCGGGGACGACGCTGTACTTTGAGAAGTCGGAGACGCCGGCGTGGTCGCGGAGAAAGTCCTCGTCGAGGAGGAGCTCGCCGTTGACGACGGAGGGCGTGGCGCGGAGGATGGCGAGGATGGCGTCGGAGAAGATGGTGGCGCGGCGCAGGTCGTTGGCCTCGTTGGGCTTGGCCTTTGTGAACTGCGCCGTGGCGGCGGACTCGATGGCCTGGGGAGCGTGTCAGCCGACTCATGTCATGACCAAGACAGCAAGCGACCCGTCCGCAAAGAGTCTGGGTCGCGCGTTG